GATATAGTGTTGTCAGTTCACTCCTACCTGCAGCCTGTTCTGCTTCACTTTCCAGTGTGTCGTAGAAGTGTCTTTTGTCTTTCTATGCACTCTTCTTCACTTCTTTGTCCAGTGTAGTGTTTTGTAGGTTGTGTTCAGTTCTTTTTTCATTGTTCATCCCTGCACTGCACAGCACTGTTTTATCTTCTGCTTCACCATCTTTCTCTGCCTGCTCTATCAGCTTCCATGTGTCTGTCGATTTACATTCCTCCTCTTGTATTGTTTCTTCTTCCTTCCTAGTGCGGTTATGCAGGTTTCGTTCCACATAGCTTTCAAAGAGTTTCAGTCTTCTAACAAGCTGGTTCCTTCAGAGATGTTGCTTAATGTCTCCCATTTTTTCCTGATGGCTGAAGTGAAGATGTCCTTTGTAGTCTCGTCCTTCAGTTCAGTTTCTGTTCTGGGTGTTGAACTTCAACTGTGGTCCATCATCACCAGCTTCTGTGAAGGCTTTCAACTTGATTTTGAGGGTAGGTTCCTTGCACCAGATAGTGAGTGATCTGAACCTACATCCACTCCCTTTCTTGATCTTGTGTTCAGTAGGCTTCGTCTGCACTTTCTTCACATTGAGATGGAGTCGATCTGATTTCTAGTGTGTCCTGGTGTCTGGTGAAATCAAATCCATGTCTCTGCCTCGTCAATATCCTTGTGTTTGTACACACTGGCTCCAATCACCAAATCGTTGAGTGCGGAGAAATCTGCAAACAGTTCTCCATTCTCATTCCTCATTTCACCGAATGCCTCTTGACCCATGATGAGTTCCATTCTTGTGTCGTCTGCTCGCAGTTTGGAATTCATGTCACCCCACCCGTGAGAATTTTGATGTCGCCAACTGAGATGGGGTCTTGTCCAGTACTGATTGATTGCAGATGTCTGTAGAGTTTCTCCTTCTTCTCTTGATCTGCATTATTTGCAGGTGTGTAGTATTGGTATTGTACGATTGTAACTTTCCTTCGTTTTGATTTGAATCTTGCTGTCATGATCCTGCAGGAGGAGATTTGTTGCCACTGTATGAGGGAGAGCCTTCGATGCTGTTGGGGACATCATGATAGCCACTCCAAAACTCAGTGTGCTGGTGATTGTCGTCAGGGTGACAATATCGGAGTAGACTATTGACTCTGCAGTTGACAGTTTGGAGAGTCCACTTCTATTCGATCTGCTTTCGCAGATTCCTAGCACTTCGATGTTATACCATCTCATCTCTTCTGCAATCTTGGCAGCCTTGCCAACCGGTTTCAAACATGGTGCGGATATTCCATGTCCCCATGCTTACTTTTGCTTTCATCGAGAGAGAAGATACATCGACCAATTGGCTTCCCAAGTCTTTCACCAACTTACGTCATTTCGCCTCTCCGATTCTCCGATTTCCACTCCCTTTCTTGATCTTGTGTTCAGTAGGCTTCGTCTGCACTTTCTTCACATTGAGATGGAGTCGATCTGATTTCTAGTGTGTCCTGGTGTCTGGTGAAATCAAATCCATGTCTCTGCCTCGTCAATATCCTTGTGTTTGTACACACTGGCTCCAATCACCAAATCGTTGAGTGCGGAGAAATCTGCAAACAGTTCTCCATTCTCATTCCTCATTTCACCGAATGCCTCTTGACCCATTATGAGTTCTCTTTTTGTGTTGTCTGCTCGCAGTTTGGAATTCATGTCACCCCACCCGTGAGAATTTTGATGTCACCAACTGAGATGGGGTCTTGTCCAGTACTGATTGATTGCAGATGTCTGTAGAGTTCCTCCTTCTTCTCTTGATCTGCATTATTTGCAGGTGTGTAGTATTGGTATTGTACGATTGTAACTTTCCTTCGTTTTGATTTGAATCTTGCTGTCATGATCCTGCAGGAGGAGATTTGTTGCCACTGTATGAGGGAGAGCCTTCGATGCTGTTGGGGACATCATGATAGCCACTCCAAAACTCAGTGTGCTGGTGATTGTCGTCAGGGTGACAATATCGGAGTAGACTATTGACTCTGCAGTTGACAGTTTGGAGAGTCCACTTCTATTCGATCTGCTTTCGCAGATTCCTAGCACTTCGATGTTATACCATCTCATCTCTTCTGCAATCTTGGCAGCCTTGCCAACCGGTTTCAAACATGGTGCGGATATTCCATGTCCCCATGCTTACTTTTGCTTTCATCGAGAGAGAAGATACATCGACCAATTGGCTTCCCAAAGTCTTTCACCAACTTACGTCATTTCGCCTCTCCGATTCTCCGATTTCCACTCCCTTTCTTGATCTTGTGTTCAGTAGGCTTCGTCTGCACTTTCTTCACATTGAGATGGAGTCGATCTGATTTCTAGTGTGTCCTGGTGTCTGGTGAAATCAAATCCATGTCTCTGCCTCGTCAATATCCTTGTGTTTGTACACACTGGCTCCAATCACCAAATCGTTGAGTGCGGAGAAATCTGCAAACAGTTCTCCATTCTCATTCCTCATTTCACCGAATGCCTCTTGACCCATTATGAGTTCTCTTTTTGTGTTGTCTGCTCGCAGTTTGGAATTCATGTCACCCCACCCGTGAGAATTTTGATGTCGCCAACTGAGATGGGGTCTTGTCCAGTACTGATTGATTGCAGATGTCTGTAGAGTTCCTCCTTCTTCTCTTGATCTGCATTATTTGCAGGTGTGTAGTATTGGTATTGTACGATTGTAACTTTCCTTCGTTTTGATTTGAATCTTGCTGTCATGATCCTGCAGGAGGAGATTTGTTGCCACTGTATGAGGGAGAGCCTTCGATGCTGTTGGGGACATCATGATAGCCACTCCAAAACTCAGTGTGCTGGTGATTGTCGTCAGGGTGACAATATCGGAGTAGACTATTGACTCTGCAGTTGACAGTTTGGAGAGTCCACTTCTATTCGATCTGCTTTCGCAGATTCCTAGCACTTCGATGTTATACCATCTCATCTCTTCTGCAATCTTGGCAGCCTTGCCAACCGGTTTCAAACATGGTGCGGATATTCCATGTCCCCATGCTTACTTTTGCTTTCATCGAGAGAGAAGATACATCGACCAATTGGCTTCCCAAAGTCTTTCACCAACTTACGTCATTTCGCCTCTCCGATTCCCATGAGGAATAAGTTTAATTTTATTTTTTTCTATTTACTTTGTGCTTTGAAGTTTCTTTAGAGATTGGATTAGTTTTACGTGGTAGGGTTGCTATCCCTGTGCCCAACCTTTCCTCTTTATCCGGGCTTAGGGCCGGCTAGTAACTAGTGAACTAGTAAATTATGCTAAGTTGCATTGGATATACATCTTACAAATAACGTGAGTTCGACGGTGTTTTTTCTGAAAAATCTCTCCTGACCTCATAGCTAATTTGAATGACTACTACGCTACTCATGACTTCACTATGAACAATTACAAGTCTATTCACTTTTTAAAATTCTGATGAAACTGAAGGATTAAAGAGTGGTTTGCTGCATCCATGATTTTATCTATCAGTGTAATCGTAAATAAATGGAAAGCTGAAGTCTAATAGCAGCATGCAGTCTCCCTAATTGGATACCTTCAGACTGGAATGAATGTCGCACAAATACTCTTGCATATAACATAAGAGAAATCATATTCCAAATGTAATCTATCAATTTGTAAGAAGTTATCCATTTTCTTGCCCACTATCCAGAAGTCAATCAGTAGGAAGCTTTCGATCCGTCCTTTTTGCAGGATATATAAGCAGCCTTAAAGATTTCATTATCCCTTGTAGAGTCTTATCTATAATAATAGACCTAGTGGTATTTATATAAAAAACATGATAGATAGAATTCAGTCATCACTTTGAAGCTGAAAACTTCATTGGTTAGCAACCGTTGACTTCATACTCCAAGTATATTACATTTCTCCAAAAGATCGAGAGACTGCTGCTTTTAGACTCAGAACTCACAAAGTAACTGCAATAATTAATCGGAAAATTGAGTTTATCTAATACTAGTAGTACCTTGAAGGTAGATGTTCAATAACATGGCATTTAAGTTGCCTAGTAGGGAAAGGGATAAATAACTTGACAAGAAACTCTGTCTCATCTCTTTTGGCTGATAGTGATCACTCAATAGATAAGAACAATGATTCCAGGAATATCCATCACATACCATGTGACGCTTTGAATAACATTCAAAATTTCCTTTTACCCATAGCAGGAGCTGTGGGGATTCGAGCTAATAATCCAAGACCTTGTATTCAAAAGAAATTTGGACATCCTTTATCTCTCCCTTGGTCAAAGGCATCTTAATGAACACCTTTATCACTGAGATTTTTCGGTCCTTTTCTTATTCTTCACCCCTTTCGTATAGTTACTACATTTGTCTAAACTTTGTATATCCCTTTTCTTCATCCTTCAGTATCACACAACTTTTATTTTTCGAGGCTTTCGACCCACTTCGATTATTGGAGTGTCTACACTATCATGGTGTTTTCTTGGGTCTTATCATCATTATCAGATGCAATAAGAATGCTGCAGTCAGCATTATCATTATGACTGTTAACGTCATTATTTTTATTGTCATGGTTATTACTAACTATAAATTTCGAAACATTTATCATTGGCTGACATATTTACGTGACTGGTTAAGTTTTCCATAAGTTTAGCTATTTATTTTAGGGTAAAACCTGAAGTGGGTCTCATTGAAAACAATGTTCGTTTATATATCTTGTCCTAATTTACAGAATGGAAACTTTTAAAATCATCATTATTACTCATATTATCTCGGTAGTTACTGTTTGAGAATTTCACTACTCTGTTGCTAAGAAGTTTACCGAGAACAGTTTAATGTTGTATGTATAATAAAATTACATATATTAAAACACAGCCTGAGGAGATCTGACTAGAAACAATATAACTTGCTTACATATATTCGTCTAATAAGCTTTCACTAATACATATTCATCTTATTGAAAATATTTTATTCAAGCTGTGGTTATGTTGAGAAATTTATCAACAAAATGAGAACATTTCATAACATACCTTTACAGATTTTCTTCGTTTATCTCGAATAATTATATTAATGTCATGGTGGTGACACAAGTCTTTGAAGTCTAAACTTTCAAGCCATTCACCTTCTGAAGTATTCACGTTAAGTGTCAATACGACTGGTAGTAAATTCTAACCCATGAATATGTGTATGCAAAACAAAAACAAACGGAATATTGAGGATTTGTATGAATAAAGTAGTATACAAATTTGGAGCAACATTTTTAAGAATAAATGGAAAGTATTAAGGGATAAATGTTAGTATTAACCAGGTGAAATGAATTTTTATAAAACAACGAACTGACGCCGTTTTATACCAGGTTTATAGACCCTTTAAGACAAAGTTGCCAAACAGATCATCATATTTAAAGGCGATGTTTGCTACCAAAAAGAAACCTGAATGAAAACGCAACGTCAATAAATTTCTTCAGTATTACCGGTTCAGTGCTTTACTGACTGAACTACTAGACCTAACTGCTAAACAACTACTTACTGACGTAACTGCATTTGCAGTATCTTGACAAGCTAATTAGTAAATAAGAGATACATGACTATCTAATCTTGACTATGCAAAACCTGAATACAAAATCATATCTTATTGTTTTGTACTCGTTTCCTCATGTTCACGTAAATTGGTAAGGACAATTTTTGCATTACAGACGGTTGACATACCGACCATTCTAAACTGAGTTGTTTGGCATGCTATTGGGTTTGGTTCGCCCCATCGCTTTTCTGTGAATCACATATTTTCTACTCTTCTGTACAAGGTTCTCACCAAACCGGTAGCTCAAAACTACATGGATTACATTTATGTATTGATTATTTATCATCTATTTCCCGTATATGCAGCTGAGTATAAAAATTTTATCATATTCTGCCAATACTTCTTCTTATTGCACTATTCGACATTGTTTTTGATTTTTGTAAAATACTGAACTAAAAATAGTGGATATGTTCCACTCCGTGCCATGATATTTCAGTACAGCAAGTCTGAGCTGAGTTTGAACATTCACTTTGTGATTTTTTTTATCACTCCTCGTAAAACAACATGAATCATTATGGGTGTATAAATGAGAAGCGCTTTAAATTTTAACAGTAAGATAACTTAAGCGAAAAGAAGATATAGTTCACTCCACGGTTCGAACAAGAAACCTGCACTTCGGATCCATCTACGATTCCATTCCTTTTTTCAAGTTTATATCACTATGTCTGGTAGTACCCTAATGTTATGATTTGCCTACCAAACCTAGGTTGTCTTAGATGAACCAATGATTTATTCGAAAAATTATTATTCTCTAAACGTTTTCTATGAAAAAGTTTTTTGGAATTGAGAAAGAACAGTGGTCAGAGTAGAACAATATGGTGCCATTTTATTTCACCACTTTCTAGTCTGCTGCTTGCACGCAAAAAATTTAAATATCACATCATGAAAGATTGTGAACATACTGTTTTGCAGTTAAATGAATTTAGTTAACAGGGGATGACATGGTTTAACGAAGAATACAGACATTCGGATTAGGTCATTAAGACATGCTAAGAAGTTTCAGTTATATATGTTGTTCAACACAGAGTTCGAGGAAAGAATGAGAATAGTAATAAAAGATTACATAAGAAGAATAACAAGTTGGCTAATTAATGATGAAAAACAGACAAACTGTAAGACATTAACAGATCGTGGCTAGAAGTGGAATCCAGGATGCGCATTGCGTCCTATTTGGGACTCGTCAGCTGGATGTACCTGCTTCCCAGTGAGCGATGTTGTTCCCACCAGGATTCCACTGCTAGCCACGATCCATCATTAACATAATTAGAACGCTGGCAATATCATGGCATCCTCACAGGAGCCCATATGCTAATAGAGACCGATCAATTCGGTCTAGCCAACGACGGTATCATATAAAAACAATTATGCTAAAAACTATGAGATAATATGATGAGGTGCACTCGTTTGATAGAACAGCTATCAAAATGTTTTCGGTTGTTAGTGGCTGGTGAAAAACTAGTGAAATAAAATGGTATCATGTTATTCTGCTCTGATCGTTGTTCTTTCTCTAATCACGTTCATAAGAGGGAATATATGTATCGAAATTATTTATTTGACTAGTAGTGAAACTGCCTATTTAAATTAAACACTTTCTATAAATTTCATACAAATTTATCTGTGGGCTTACGAACAGTATAACTCTGGTACAACACAAACTGGCTATGGCACGGCATTATAAACTCTACTTATCAAAACTGACCAAACTATACAGATCAAGGAAATTACCAAAAAGATCATGATTAGATCCAAAATAGTATCTACTGATGTAACTAACAATATGAGACATCGACATACATCCATTACCATCCATTCTACACAAAAGATTTCAGAAACATTATGACAGATGGTTGCTAAAATGTGCGATACTTGAACACGCTATTTACAGTGAACACTGAAATTCGGAAAGCTTCTGATTCACAGTGGTCAACCATGGTAACAGTGGTCTAATAAATACACTAAATTTTTGTCTTCATGCAGTACGGAAATTTTAGTCAGCTACGTAAATCAGAATTCATTTATTAGACTTCTCATTCTGAGCTGTTTTGAGGTCGAATTATAAACTATTTCACACTATGCGAACTTGAAATTATGTCGATCCACAGTCAAAAAAGAAATACAACACCTGTAATCTCAACTGTATAATAACATGATACTCAAAACTAGGAAAAACGTACTACACAGAAAGTGAAGTCTGCTCAAACACTTCAATCATAAACACACGTTACACTATAATAGTAACACAACCTCATCAATCACCACACTACCTTACAAAACCAACTATTGCAAGTAGCATGACTCATTCAGTCGGTCATCTAATGCAGCTGCGTATCTGCGTACACCTTCAATTACACATACAAACATGACTCATTCACTCACTCACTCACTCACTCACTCACTCACTCACTCACTCAGTCAGTCATGCATGCATTGCTTCAATGGCTGCTTGAATGATAATAAATCACTGCTGTTTCAATCTCACATTTCAAGTAACTCTCTTCTCCCTCTGATTGACTCTCCTTGCAATCTACTACCGTTGATTCTTCTTTTCTATACTCTTCCCCTCACAGTACGTCATTCGTCGAATATTTCATCATACCACACGAAATGTTGTCCGAACTCAATAATCTTGCTGCAATCTCTACAGCACTTCGATGAATGTATACTACATTTATCAATTTTTATGTGACTTTTTGCTTAGTGATGACAACTGAATTTGTTTGCTTTCAAAGGAATGTATGCCGTCAGGAAAGGTAATCTTGAGTGATTGCTTCGAATGCAGCTTTAAGAATAAGATAGTTGAATCAGATCTCTTCAAGCGTAAATACTTGCTTTAAATTGTTGTCCTGGTAAAGGGCCTCACGGGCTTTGAAAAGTATTGACACCTTATGTGGTCCTTTTATGAAGGAAATCGTTATCATGTCCATTCAAGAGCGTAACCATCACTTTGGCTAGCAGCTTACATCATCTCTGAAGATGCGTCAACATATTGTTTACATTTCAATCGTCATATCACAAGTAGATATTTAGAATGACTTTGAAGAAAACTCTAATAACTGCTAAGATAACTAAGTACTCTTCCTCACTTTATGAAAACCATCCCCACAGAAAATACAAAAGTCTGATTGGTTATTTCAGCAGTTGCTAGGGTGGCCTATAAAGTCACTCGGTTTTCACATTACTCTCTCCATTTATGTCTCCTCACTAGATAATCTCTGTTTATCTTAGTCCCTCGATGGGCTGATGAAAGGTGCAGCAACTGTGACCGTTACACAGTAATTTTAAACACCATGCTTTTATTGACTGATTAACACATCAGTCAATTTAATTCAACACTTTTTTTTATCTTATTATGCATTGAACAGTTTGTTCAATACAGAATTTTGATAACTTTGATTTTTACTCACCATTATCAATTGTCTAGCTTGAAGTACACTATTCACACTACCATATATATGAATATGATCTAAAGTTGTTACAATATGTTGTGATGAATTCGTATTTGAAGTTAAGTTGCAACCACTTGAATTGTTCATACTCGAAGAATTTATAACATTCGTCAAGCATCTGACTTGATTAAATGATAACGATGACGATCCTGACTGAGGTGACGTCGACGATGACGATGAGCGGGAAGAAGCCGAAGGGGAGAAACAGTTTGAGGAATAGTTAATTTTGCACCAGTTGCCTCATAAACTAATTTCTTCAGCTTTTCTCGCAAAGTTTGGCTGGTTAACATAGATGGATTGTTTGAATCCATCTCTATGTACATGTTGACTTGCAAATTATCCTGTTGTATATATGCAAAGAGAAATTAGAAAAGAGAAAATCGATATGATTGATAATGCTTTTGAAGATTATTGTATTCGACTGTTCACAAAATAATGTAATTTGACTTGATAATCAAAACCTGAGAAAAATTAGGTGAGTTCAAGAGCGATCTTCACTGAAAAATGATTTACTTCAAAAGTCGGTGGAAGCCAAGTAGTACTAAACAATGCCTTCTTTTATTTGTTGTCTTTCAGAATAACACATCTATAGTAGTTATGAACATGGAACTAAAAATTATTAGTCTTGATCAAATTCAAACCTTTACTTTGATGAAGATGATGAACATTTTCAAACGCAGTCATTTTATGAATTTGTGAAGCTAGTTCTGCTTCTTCGGTATCCATAAGTTTCCTTAAGGTTACACTTGTACGATGTCTTTTCACTCAGTATGGCAAATATTTTCCAGTATTCATAAACAATTTTGTCAGGACTAAAGACTTACTAGTGTCACAATAACTAAAAGTCGTGTATTATTAGCAGCATAATTTGTGTTAGAAACCACCCGAAGAAAGGCGACATAAGCCTTTGTAAGAACTGGTGAGGAATCAAGCTCCTCTCCACCCAGAGCAACAAAATATTAGGCCGCATCATCCTGGAGAGGCTAGAGGATGCACTGAATTCAAAACTGCGACCGCAACAGGCTGGCTGGATTCAGGAAGTACAACTCATGTGCGGACCAAATTGCAACGCTTCGCATCATTGTAGAACAGAGTATAGGATGGCAGTCAACCCTTTACCGCAACTTCATAGACTTTGAGAAGGCCTTCGACAGAGTCAACCGAGAGGTAATTTGACAATTGCTTCAACACTACGGAATACCACAAACCTTTATCAACCTCATTCAACAACTATATGAAGATGCCACATGCGAGTAATTCACAATGGGAAGCTCAGTGATGCTTTTAAAGTGAAGACAGGAGAAAGACAAGGCTGCTGCTTGCTATCACCCATAAAATTCCTGATTGTGGTCGACTGGATCATGCAGCAAACAGTGAGGAGCGAGAAGAGGGGGATATGCTGGACCGCGGAAAATAACCCAGAAGATTTGGATTTCGCCGATGACTTATGTCTAATGTCAAACAAACTTGAAGATCTACAGGCGAAAAGCAACAAGTTGATAGAAGCGGCAGGGCAGCTAAGACAGGACTTCCTTCAGGTGGGCGTAGAGAAGACAGAAGTGATGAAGATACCCAACCAACAACAGCATCTACAACAAGCACCAATCACCATCAACGGGAGAAATCTAAACGAAGTAATCTCTTTCACCTACCTACCTAGCCTAGGCAGCATCGTTTCAACTACAGTTGGCGGCACATATTTGGACGTCAAAGCAAGGATCGGAAAGACAGCAGGACAGGCCTTCCTTCATTAGTCTGAAATCAGTGTAGAGATCTAATGCACCACACTGCACTCCACTCAGCATAAAGCGTGAACAACATCCGAATTTTCAACACTAATTCACTCAGCAAGTCAGTGCTTCCATGTGATGGTTCAGAGACTCGGCGCGTTACGAAAGGCATTTCCAGCAAACTACAGACATTCATCAACAACTGCCGACGCTGGCTTGTTACTGAAGATCAGATTGCCAGAATAATGAGAATAAGCAATAGGGAACTCACTCCTGTTGGCAACGAACCAACTAAGAACCTATAGCCCAACAAATATGCAGAAGAAAGTGGAGATGGATTGGGCATGCACTGAGAAGGCCGACTGGGGACATCACGCGTCAGGCCCTCGAGTGGAACCTCAAGGGGAACGACGAGTTGGGCGTCCCAGCTGAGGGTGACATGGAGGAGATGGTGTGAGGAAGAAATGAGAGCTTGTGGGATGTCGTGGAGCCAGGTTCAAAGTTTGCAGAGAACAGAGTGCAGTGGAGACGTGCTACTGAAGCCCTGTGTTCCACTAGGAACCCAAGGGACAAATAATATAATAGCAATCTTCCAAGGCTCCATGTCTTCATAGCTCACTGAATGAAGTTGACAAGCACACATCTAATTTTCCGTCTGAGTATACATACATCAGCTCCAAATAGAATTTTAAAGGAAGGTGTACTTCAATTTGACAAATGTTCCTAGAAATTTTCACCTGGTGGTTGACTACCACGGTTTCACATCGAAAATAGCTAGAAGACATGATGCACTGTTTGCCAATGTTTAAAAGTTTGCATGTAATTATCCTTTCAAAATATTTCTCTTCAACCTTTATAACTGCTGACTGAAGTAGTCTAGTTAGTCAATTTATCAATGGGGAAAAATAATTGCTCTAACATCACTTTCACAATACTGACGCATAAGGTTATATTTTCTCCATTTTTGCAACATACTCTTCGAAACAACTTGAAATGCTACAAAACTGAGAGAGAATCAGGAGAGCAGATCAAAAGATGATGATTAAGAGCTGTGAAATGTTTTATCACTGAGTACTAGTACGAATTCCTAACTATCTCCACCTTACCATTCAGACTACCAGTCGTATTTGTTTAATCTTTCATTTCATTTTTCAACCAGTAAGTTTCTTTCTGTAGATCTTTCGAATGCTTTTGCTCACTCATCATTCACTGCAAAAAAACCATTGGACACTTTAATAATTTGTTGAGAGAGTTAGTTAGCATTGCTGTGCATGCCTCTTAGTTGCCTCCCTTCAGATCATTACATCTAGCTGGAAACGAAAGAAATGTAAGAGCGAAATTACACTAATATCAACTCCCAAGAAAAATGAAAGGATAAAACGAAAACATACATAAAACGGAATGAATATTTATTAAATTATTACTTCAGTGGATATAATGCAGGGAGGCATCTACGCTACCATGATTCATTTTGAGTTACATCTATCTGTTGTCTTGTGTAACTAAGCTAGGAAGCTTATGCCCTACCTATACCGCGAAGACCGACAATTATCGGCGTACAACCTGATATTAACATCTATCAAGTGAAGTTATCATATCTATGGAGAAATGTTTAATCATTTTATAAACTTCAGGATCATTTGTTAATAACTTTATTTTGAAAAAACAGATGATAAACAACGTACTATATTTAGAGATAAACATTTATCCATTAGGATTTCGATGGCATCTTTTGTATTTTTCGAATTGACTGCCAATCCTTTAACAATAACGACAGTTGTCCGATTTCCATTTAGAAAATTATTTCGAAAAGTGATTTCTACCTTAAATACATTTGAATTTGTTGAATTAATGGTGAAATTTGATTGGTAGATAAATTTTCGTTAATTAAATATGGTATTTCGAAAGTAAATGTTATCGGAAGTAGATCCTAAAACAAAAGAAAATAATAATTGAGTAGAATAATTTGAAGTATATATATATAGCCAGTTAGTTGGTAGACCGTCATTGGAAACTTAACAAACGAACAACCAATGAATATCGTTGATTTCAGTTATCTTCTTTGCACAGAAATTGATACATTTGGGAAGAACCAAATACAATAACGAACCTAGCAAAATTTACTAGTTCACTAGTTACTAGCCGGCCCTAAGCCCGGATAAAGAGGAAAGGTTGGGCACAGGGATAGCAACCCTACCACGTAAAACTAATCCAATCTCTAAAGAAACTTCAAAGCACAAAGTAAATAGAAAAAAATAAAATTAAACTTATTCCTCATGGGAATCGGAGAGGCGAAATGACGTAAGTTGGTGAAAGACTTTGGGAAGCCAATTGGTCGATGTATCTTCTCTCTCGATGAAAGCAAAAGTAAGCATGGGGACATGGAATATCCGCACCATGTTTGAAACCGGTTGGCAAGGCTGCCAAGATTGCAGAAGAGATGAGATGGTATAACATCGAAGTGCTAGGAATCTGCGAAAGCAGATCGAATAGAAGTGGACTCTCCAAACTGTCAACTGCAGAGTCAATAGTCTACTCCGATATTGTCACCCTGACGACAATCACCAGCACACTGAGTTTTGGAGTGGCTATCATGATGTCCCCAACAGCATCGAAGGCTCTCCCTCATACAGTGGCAACAAATCTCCTCCTGCAGGATCATGACAGCAAGATTCAAATCAAAACGAAGGAAAGTTACAATCGTACAATACCAATACTACACACCTGCAAATAATGCAGATCAAGAGAAGAAGGAGAAACTCTACAGACATCTGCAATCAATCAGTACTGGACAAGACCCCATCTCAGTTGGCGACATCAAAATTCTCACGGGTGGGGTGACATGAATTCCAAACTGCGAGCAGACGACACAAGAATGGAACTCATCATGGGTCAAGAGGCATTCGGTGAAATGAGGAATGAGAATGGAGAACTGTTTGCAGATTTCTCCGCACTCAACGATTTGGTGATTGGAGCCAGTGTGTACAAACACAAGGATATTGACGAGGCAGAGACATGGATTTGATTTCACCAGACACCAGGACACACTAGAAATCAGATCGACTCCATCTCAATGTGAAGAAAGTGCAGACGAAGCCTACTGAACACAAGATCAAGAAAGGGAGTGGATGTAGGTTCAGATCACTCACTATCTGGTGCAAGGAACCTACCCTCAAAATCAAGTTGAAAGCCTTCACAGAAGCTGGTGATGATGGACCACAGTTGAAGTTCAACACCCAGAACAGAAACTGAACTGAAGGACGAGACTACAAAGGACATCTTCACTTCAGCCATCAGGAAAAAATGGGAGACATTAAGCAACATCTCTGAAGGAACCAGCTTGTTAGAAGACTGAAACTCTTTGAAAGCTATGTGGAACGAAACCTGCATAACCGCACTAGGAAGGAAGAAGAAACAATACAAGAGGAGGAATGTAAATCGACAGACACATGGAAGCTGATAGAGCAGGCAGAGAAAGATGGTGAAGCAGAAGATAAAACAGTGCTGTGCAGTGCAGGGATGAACAATGAAAAAAAGAACTGAACACAACCTACAAAACACTACACTGGACAAAGAAGTGAAGAAGAGTGCATAGAAAGACAAAAGACACTTCTACGACACACTGGAAAGTGAAGCAGAACAGGCTGCAGGTAGGAGTGAACTGACAACACTATATCAAATAATCAGGTTATTATCTGGGAGGGAAGAGATCAACACAACACAACACAGATGAAACCAATGAAAGATAGTGAAGGAAAGCTAGTAAGCAAAGAGGAGAAACTAAGGAAACGATGGACTGACCACTTCAAAAAGCTGTTGATACGACCACCACCATCTGCAACTCGTCCAGAAATACCACCAACAGCCCAACCACAGAACTATCAGTGAACACAAACCCTCCGACAAAAGCAGAAATGAAGTCCTGAACACCATAAAGTTACTGAAATGCGGGAAAGCAGCAGGACCAGATGGAATTCCTCCGGAAGCACTGAAAACAGGCACAGAGACATCAGCAGTCGACATGCTCACACCACACCACTACTTCAGAAGGTTTGGAAGGAAGGCAGGAGAGAAACCTGAGGACTGTAAGAAGGGCTACCTTGTCAAACTTCCAAAGAAGGATGACCTAAGTCTTTGCAGGAAGAAGAACTGGTGCGGAATCATGCTTCTGTCCATGTCCACCTCAAGCAAAATACTAAGCTGCATCATCCTGGAGAGATCAAAAAATGCTCTCAACTCGAAATCACGACCAGAACAGGCTGGCTAGCTTCCAGAAGAACAAGTCATGTGCGGATCAAATCACATTACTACGCTACGCATCATCATAGAACAGAGCATAGAATGGCAGTCAACTCAAATCAATCTCAACTTCATCGATTTTGAAAAGGCCTTCGATAGCGTCGACCGAGAAGTAATTTGGCAGGCAGCTGCTTCAACACTACGGTTTTAGTGCCATAAACCTTTATCAATCTCATTCAACAACTATATGAGAACGTCATATGCCACGGGATTCACAATGCGAATCTCAGTGACCGATGGAAGGACCCAAGAAGATTTGGATTTCGCCACTGATGATGATGATTCATGTCTAAGGTCACACAAGCTTGAAGATCTAAAGGCGAAAAGCAACAAGTTGATAGAAGCGGCAGGGCAGCTAAGACAGGACTTCCTTCAGGTGAGCGTAGAGAAGACAGAGGTGATGAAGATACCCAACCAACAACAGCATCTACAACAAGCACCAATCACCATCAACGGGAGAAATCTAAACGAAGTAATCTCTTTCACCTACCTACCTAGCCTAGGCAGCATCGTTTCAACTACAGTTGGCGGCACATATTTGGACGTCAAAGCAAGGATCGGAAAGACAGCAGGACAGGCCTTCCTTCATTAGTCTGAAATCAGTGTAGAGATCTAATGCACCACACTGCACTCCACTCAGCATAAAGCGTGAACAACAGCCGAATTTTTAACACTAATTCACGCAAGCAAGTCAGTGCTTCCATGTGATGGTTGAGAGATTTGGAGCGTCACGAAAAGCATTTCCAACGAACTACAGACATACATCATCAACAGATTCCGCCTGCACTCACTCGATACTGACACTGAGGATCAGATGGCCAGAATAATGAGAATAAGCAATAGGGAACTCACTCCTGTTGGCAACGAACCAACTAAGAACCTATAGCCCAACAAATATGCAGAAGAAAGTGGAGATGGATTGGGCATCCACCGGGAAGACTGATTGCGGACATCACGCACCAGGGCAAGCCAGTCCCTCGAGTGGAACCTCAAGGGGGAACGACGAGTTGGGCGTCCCAGCTGAGGGTGACATGGAGGAGATGGTGTGAGGAAGAAATGAGAGCTTGTGGGCTGTCGTGGAGCCAGGTTAAAAAGACGGCAGAGGGCAGAGCGAAATGGAGATGTGCTACTGAAGCCCTATGTTCCACTAGGAACCCAAAGGATGAATAATAATAATATCCGATCCAATCTACGGCACAATAATTTTTAAATAAATTGGTCAGATTTTAGTGCTTAAAATAATTTATCTTAGTCAGCTGACTACATTAGAGTACTTACCCACTTGCGCATCTGAGATTCTAATTAACTGAGTGACCACCAGATGTTTGAGTGGTTTCAAAGTAATTGGTTTATTCAGAGCGTATATCCCGTGTGACACACTATCCTCGAAGTGAAGTACATGCTGGAATGCAAGATTTCATGTTTGTCCTTACTAAAAAAGCAACAGTCTAAAAAGAATATCCTTATCAAGAATCCTCTTCATGCCCTACAATTATAGGATGAATTTGCACGGCGTAAAAACAAGCCATATTATGAGTGGGGAGTTACATCTTGAAAATAGAGTGAGATCTAGGGGTTGTAAGGAAATCGATTTATATTTTTTTAAATTAGTCAATGTTAGGATGATACATATATAGAAGAATGATATGATGGTGAATAAAAAGATAACGAATAAGATGGCAGGAATGGCCTTTAGTTATCTGAAGGCCAAGGGAGAAATAATGCTTGGACATGTTCTTTGTGAGTTCAGACTTGACCAATCTTATTGCGACAGCCTTTGCCATGTGGAGCAGGCGTTGGCGAGCTACACATAGTTTCGTTTTTGGAACACGATGAATGACATTGAAAGCTTTATTAGCATCTGAGAAGGTGCGTATACTGTGCCTTAGACGTTAGTTTTCTATATATGGTTCTCAGTATAGAGCCATTTTCTTTTCTTGTCATTAGCACATCAAGAAAATGTATCGAATCATTGATTTCATTTTCGTATGTAAAATGAATTGGTGGATGAGCACTGTTGAAATGGTTTGCAATGGAATTAATACATATGCACCTATCAAAGACTAAAAAAGTATCATCCATGTATCGATAGTACAACTCCATATTAGCAATTTGATCTTTCAATGGACCATTTTCCATTTTTGCCATAAATATGTCTGCAAATATTGGTCCCAATGGAGATCCCATAGATGAACTGGACATTCATTGTACATTTTAGTAGTAGTTCTTTCAAATTCTTAATCGGAATACCAGTGTCTAATTTTCTTTCCAATAATTATTCACAAACATAATCAATGGTTTCCATTAGAGAGACATTAGTAAACAAAGATGTGACATCTAGGGATCACATGCATTTGTTTAAAACATTCAAGTTTTTTTCTGTCTACAAACTGGAAGGTATCATTCACGCTGTATTTTGTTAACTGGTAACGCAAAGGTTGAAGTGATCGTACTAGCCATTTAGCGATAGCATAGTAAGGCGAGTTGGTCATGTCTAGGATAAAGCAAAGAGGCACACCAGGTTTGTGTAGACCATACATCCGTCGAATCGTAAGGCCTATAGGCTTCAAATTTTCAAATAAGGTTGATGGAATGTCATCGTCATTCAATTTCTTGAGTCAGACGATCAGGTCTTTTTTCTGCTTTTTTGGTTAGATCTTTCGTTGACTGTCGTTTATTGATCACTGGAGAGTAACCAATTTCATGTTGTTTAGTCCTAAGTATTAACAAAATTCTATCGATAATTTCTTAATGTGGCTGCCAATCTAGAAGGGTCACAATCGTATTACATTTTAGTGGGTAGAAGTCGGGTTGAGGCAATCGGCAGAAAGCCATGGACCTAGATCAGCACTCAGGACTAGACAGCACGAAATTGATTGTTCACCAGTCATTAATCAAAATATGTAATCCGGTCGAAGAGGAGATCAATCGCTACCCGGATGTCTCAGTGGTAACGTCAATGGCGTAAACACTAGGCGACGTGGATTCAGATCTTAGAAAGAACATCAGTGCCCTCGGTGTTTCAAATTTACCTTGCTGACGAGTGTTAACGAGCACGAAACCTAGGTCTTGAGGTCCATGTTGATACCTCCAACCAAATTACAACATTGAAAGTATTAGCATGTCATCATTTTTTGAACGGTGTTAACTTGCGGTTGCTGACTCTTTTCACGTTGGGAGTTCAGACTGGTGTGCACCCTCAAACTGAATGAAACATTTTCTAAGGATACCTGGCTTTTACTGGAATGACAAAACTGGAACCACAATTCTGAGAGTTACTAGTGGGAATTCTTGTTTGCTAAACGGCGAAACTAAAAAGTCAGAAGCGTGGAAGATCGCTTCAATCAGTGACCGTTGTATGCACGAGAACTATTCAATTGTTCGTTCATCAGAAGCTGACTGGTCACTGTTTAAACTGTTATATATTTCATGCACAGTAATATTAGTTGAAATCTATTTCAAAGTGTGATGTAAATTATCTTCAAAACAATTCTTGACTGGAAAAAGAAGTTTTGATAAAATCCACCAACTGATAAGCATGTTAGACTTACCCTTATTATTCTCCTAGCTTTTTCAACATTTCTCAGTGAACCAGATATGGAAACCTGATTACTTTTATTGGATAAGTTATTTTTGTTTGAATCTGGAAAATGTATATGGCAAAGAGTTTTCATCACGACTGCTTTTATATTACATCCATAACGACCGATTAAATGACCATGATCAGTGTGAGACACATCAATTTTCAGTGTAACATGATTCATAATTTTATCAGACAGATTACTTTGGTCTGACGAAATTAAATTATTTTCTTTTCGGTAAAAAAGAAATAATACATAAACATAATAGTTCAAAATTCATTTTAGGAATTATCTATTTTCGTGCATATCAAACAACTAATCTAGACTACGAAAACTAATAATTACCAACATTTTACGTATAAGTATGCTGGTTTATTCCACAATTGTCATTGCTTCTGTATAACAAAATGATAATCAATCCTTCCATACTTATATGGTCTTTAGTACTTACTAAAACCTCTTGATCAAGCTTTTCACCAAAACCAGACTTTCTTTTGACTGGAAATCATAATGTACCGAAGTCATTCATCAAAAAGCCAAACACTTAGATTTCCTGTACGTCACCATTTGTTTGTAAAAATTAGTAAGAGTCAGAATGAAAATTATGTTCCTTCCTTGATCTGGATGAAGAAACAAAAGGACATTCAGCTTCACACAAAAGCACACGGGTTTAAGTTGCTAGTTATGTTGTCCAGTTGGTTAAAACTAGAGGGAATTAGAATACTTGTCGGTGGTTATTCTAAGTCTCTCCCTTCACACCCAACTACATCAGATGATGAAAAGGATGGTGTTTACTGAGAGTTGTTGATTTTTTTTACATAAAACAACTTTCAGATATAATCCTACTAGGAAGCGACTTCAACATTCAAGAAGGGTATGTGAATCAGTAAAAAAGCATCCTGGGGGTATTTAACGAACTCACAACAGTGGTCGGCCCCCAAAACTATTTTTGACAATCACTCGTTTCTGATGAGCAGTAACTTCAAGTATGATGGGAGATACTGTTTCACCTGGCATCCACACACATCATATCAGTGGTGGATTCAGAACAGCTGCGTGGTTATAAGCCACCCTTGGAGATAATCAGTGTGGGATTCACACTCCTTATGGAGTATTTGCTTGAATTTAGATCTTGTGTTAGTATGAGTAGATATATGTTCTTACCGTGAATAAGCAAAAAACAACAATAAGGCCTGCATTCTTTGCTGGAAGATGAGGACACCGAATGTGTATTGGCTTGCACCAGAAGTTGGGTCAGAACTTACTCAATAAAGTAGCCAGTGTGCTGGTAAGTATACAGGAATTAGAGGTGGACCGGTGCGAGTCGTTTAGCTCGCTAATCGTTCCAGCTTACAAGAACGGAGAGAAGGGTGAGCAGTCTGATTAACATCATGTCCCAGATCATAGCGTAAACTGCATAATTATATGACTCTTAACTGGGACTAAAGAGACCCAGACAGGCCCAAGACCTGGTTGAGGACGCAGAGATCAAATCTTCATCTTTGGACAGGTTTCGAAATACATACTTACCGATGCCGAATATATCATATTTCTTGATCTGAAAGCAGAATTCTACTCTGTCGACCAAGAGGTGTTCTGACAGTGTTCAACTATGAGATGAGTATAGAGAAAGCATTTGATACAAATCAAGACCGTCAACTAAAACTCATGCAAATGTGCAAGGCTATATGAAGAGTTATTCTCTATAGTAACGAAAACCAACTGGCCGACATGGATGCCCCTTTTCATCATTCCCGTTCAGATTTGTTATAGGCTCGCTAACGGACATTACCTGAGTGACTCCAACTTTTTCATGATTCATTCCTATAGAGGACTGTTCGTGGTCTGAATAGCTTAGTGGTAAAGTATCTAACTGCTAGAGTGATTGACGCAGGTTAAAGATCGTCGAGGAAATACTAGTTCCTTCGTGGTTACAGATACGCCCTGATGATGAATGCCAACAAGCACGAAACCTAGGGTCACTGCTTCTTGTCGACCGGCTTTCACCATGTAGCATCTAAATATAGTGCACAGCAGTATTTCTTCACTTCGCTAAGTGACCACATTGCAAACCTTGATCGATAAACTTCGATCAATCCTAAGCACTAAGACCTAAATAGCTGCATCGATTGTCCACAAGCGATCAATTCATTTGCATTCGATACACTTAGTTTTGCTTTTTTGTGAATCACAGTAGTAAGAGTATGTCACTAACTGCGATTAGTGCTCCCTTATTGCATGTCACAAGTTTTTCCTATTATTTGACGAACCAGTCTCGACGAATATAAAAAATTGTATACAGTTTGGTCACTATATTATTCAAAACTTGGAGGATATGTTTACAATTTACAGAATGTAATTCAAACAGAATTATCCTACGGTAAAAAATCTCCCGATACAAAAACATCTACGATTAAAAATCAAATCTTCATTTGCTTTGAAAACCATTTCAGTAAGTTTGCTTGCCATAGCTAAGTAATTTTATATTTTATCTAAATCTTAGTTAAGGAAAGACATCTGAAGTATTTTAAACAAAACAACCAGGTTGCATTATTATATTATTGAGATGGCAGTTTGGTCTAGATATTTACTATTCATACTCATAGCTACAAATCTGCACATCTGACGTTCCTTTAGTTCAATAATTTATTAACTACATTTATAGCACAATAAACACTTCTTTTGAGAAATAACTGACCATTATCACTTACCTAAAATAGTTCCAGGCTGTTCATCAAATTCAGAATGAAGTACATCCATTAAAATTCCGTTTCGACTTAACAAGTTCATAAGAATGATCCTATCCTCTATATTCGACATGGCAGCACTAACTTTTTTGCTTTTATATATATGTATATATATACCTGACTGACTGCAATTTCAAATGAATTAATCGATCGCCCATGAGAAAAATTTAAAAAGTCAATCGAATGTTATGATGACTGTGTCATCTTTGTGAATGTTCGTATGAAAAATCTATAACACATTATGCAGTAGTATTGCATCCTATTCTCTTTCATCCCATTTTATTTCATCGTTTTTCACATTTCATTCCCACAATATCTTTGATACTCATTGATAAAAAAATACATACAATGCACCTGTGTTTTAGTGTTCAAACTATTGATGGTTTGAGCAAACATTCGTTCTCAAAACATTTTCTTCAGACTATTAAGTTATGCGACCTTGAGCGTTACGAAATGGTTAGTGTAAGACTGTGATTGAAAGTTAATGTGTACATAAGTTTGTATTTTTTTTGCAAGTTTGCATTACGAATAGGTAAAAGTTCCAAAGGATGAGTCATAATTAACGGGATAAAAGTAGAATAGCGACATGATATCAGCTTAATCCAAGCTTATGAGATGACTAATAGCAGTGATGACAGAAATGACACAACGGTATTAAAACAACCCACATGACGTGTAGCTGAACAGTTTAATTGGTTAAAGAAGAGGACAAATAGACTGGCGGAAAATTCAAAAATTTGTTTATGTGATAACTAACTGTTCTTTCAGGGAGTTTTCATCACAGATTGACACCAACCAGAAAATTACTGACAACCTGGGAACACTGGACAGCTGTTTGATGCTCTTTTAAGTCTCCTTAAAAATGCGCTCTTACGACTCCTTGTGGGGTTGGACCTAGGACCATTAGGTCTTACTGCGAGCATGTTAATACTCAACCATTTGGTCAGAGCTGTGGCTCAGTGGTTCAGGGTAATGACTTTCAGTCAGCGGGTCACAGGTTTGAACCCTACTTGGCCTACCGAGGGTTGGACGCCCAAGTAGTATCAGTGGTCCACATTTTCCAGCTTCTGTCATTTCGTGATATGACCCAACCAACATCTGGTTAGCGCTTTTCTTACCACCTAACAGAATTTGGAAGAAGTCGACCATTGGGTTCCTACCCGGTGAGTGGGTATTGATGTGCTCTCCATGTGAAATGATATCTCTGGTTTCGTCGCCTTAAAGTGTCACGGGTGTCCATTACTGAGGAGTTCCAAAGTAGTTGTTTTAGTAGCAGTTGTCCAGTGATTCTAGGTTTTCAGGGGTTTTCTGGAGGATTTCATTTCGTGACGGAAACCTCTTTGAAAGCAATCGATTTCCCACAAGCTTCCTAAATGAATGGTTAATTGTGTGTTGTCTTTTTGCTGGACCAGTAGAGGCAAAGAGATTGACGCTTCTTTTTGAATATATGTAAATCTGGCTGTCAATTCTTAACTACCGAGCCTGTCGTAATACATGAGATATTTATCCTTTTCTTTCTCAACAGATAATTTGGTGCTCGGTATATCATCGATCGAGAAGGCATGGTCAATCTTAATATAATGTTTGCTACCCACCGAATGAGACAGAATGACATTATTCATCAATTTAGTGTCTCCCTTTGTAAGCCTAACTGGCACATGTTCACGAGTGTGTAGGGTTCAATAACTGATTATAAAAACTAGCAGCATATGGATGTTATGGGAAGTGATTTAACCAACCTACTTCCTTTCTGGTATATTTTCCGACAGTTCACCATTAATATGATACTGTTATTTTCTACTGTTTAATCAGATGTCTAATGCATACAAAGCTCATTTTAATTAGTAGTATTACTGTTTTCAAAATGTGTTGTAGATTACAGAGTTGCTTTTTATATTCCCTAAAATACACCAAATCATTCGAAAAACTATGTGATTTTGAACTCGAACCATAGATTCACATTTGAAATTCATATTTAAAGAAAACTGTTTTCTAAAATTTGCACAAATAAAGCACAGGTGTCAATTCTACTAGTGTACCTCCAAGACCATCCACCTGAGCTACAAATATTCTCCACTAACATCAAATGAGTTTTTCGCTATTTGTGTTTTTTGTTTAAACATAGATTTTTATGCGATACTTTCAAAAGTAGGTGACCGAAATTAATAGGTGAAGATAATTTCTGCATCTACCCAACAATTGCATGAAGAGTCGAAATGGTCTAACGTTGAGTAGGATGATTAAAATACACGATATTGTCGAGCATAGACGTATTCGACCGCTTACTTGATGGTCTCTGTTTTTTTTCAAAATTGAACTGTTTCTGCTCTCTATAGTGATGTTTTATAGGCTTAGAGATTTCGGCTATTTGCTTTACTTTGGGTTTTTTTTATTTATTTTATATATGGATCATGGAATAATGACAGATGATATGTCACCAGGTGACTCGAACATGACAGGATTCAGTCATCCTCAGTGAAAGTTTAATATGCAAATTATTTGCTACCCATTAACTGTTTATCATTTTATGGTTTTGTCAGGTATTCATTCACATTAAGACGAGGTATTCTTACGATGATGGAATGAAACAACTAGGCGAAATATCTCCAAAATTATTGATTACACATTTCCTATATTTGTCCTAATTCCAGGTGGTAAATAATGGGAAAATATACCCCAGTTTTAAACAAACCATCGTGTACCCTCTGGTCGTATCTCCGATGACCTAGTCAAGATGAAAAAGTAGGTGCAGTGATAAGTTGGAATACTACAGGATGACCCAGGCAGAATTCTATTCAACTATTATACAAAATGTTTTAGCAGTAAATAAGAGTTGTTGCTTTTGTTTAAGGTTAGATGTTCACAGTCAGTCATCATAAGTTTTTCAGAGTACTCCTTTTTGGAAAACTGCATTTTTTTCTTGCATAACTCGAAGTGACAAAGAATAATCTTATTTTTTTCACTAACGAGACGCTTATCCATTCCGAGTGGAAAATCCTACCACTTTCAACACTTGTATTGTCAAGAACTAGGCTAAACCAATAATGCAGAAAGTGATTCTAATCTCGAAACCTTCAGTGATATGTCATAGAATGCACACTGGATGGATAGACTCAGTTGTTAACCAACATTCCTCAAGGATGCTATTTTCCAATATACCTGAAACAGATTTTCCCAAAATATACTCTGGAATGCAACTCACCAGGATTCTATTAAAAGTGGAGGTGCAAAACACTTGCTTTCTTTTTCAGTGGCAACACATGCCAATCACACTAACATAACATGAAAAGTGGGTAAACACTGACAAATATTTCAAATAGCAGAAGCCATGTGTAGCTTAAAATACTGAAAAATTCCTTAAATGACTGGATTTATCAGTACTTCACTACATAAATTAGCCGAGCATTAAGTAACAAGAGATTACGTAAACGGAACTTTTACAGACCCTTCAAGTCACCTGAGACACTGCTGATGAGTAATTTCCTCCTCACTTGTTGGCAATTTGATCTTAGTTCCGTGTTGGATTACACACACAAGTAATGAGCGTTTCTTATTGACCTAATCATGTAGTTCATACATGTTCAGCAGTCTGATGAATGATCAGCTAATTGTGACTAATCTGCATACTGGATTTGAGCTGACGAAGCTGCCGATGAGAAAAACATGTCTTTAAGAATACTTATTCCTTAGGGTTTCAGTCCTGAAAGCTGTTGGACTTCCAGGATGTCACAAACAGTAGTTTTCTTGTATTTTCAAAATGTATTGAAATTATTGGTTATGATAGTTAGCGCTCATAACTTGTCTAGCCTTCCAACCAGTGTACTGCTGAACAGTGATGCTGTCAGCCTCTGTAGTTCGATTTATTAATTATTTATATCCTCTCTTATTTAAGTGACTGCTTTCGAGCTTGGACAAGAGATTCAATATTGATTTGATTTATCTGTGAGATAAATGATGCCAGAACAAAAATGGAATGCATTCACTCATCATTTGATGTAAACATCTGAAATTCCAAGCCACAATACTTTCCCGTGGATTAACAAACTTCTACAACACTTAATAACAGCAGCTTTTTTTCTGTCTATACGTTGTTATAAATAATTGTCAAGGACTGAGTTCAGTGAACACTCTCTGACCTCACAAATGAGACTCAACACTATTGAAGATAGTAGATGCAAGATCGTTACAAGAGTTTGCTCCTTTGCTAAGTCAAAGCATTGTTTACTTTTAGTAGAACCTCTGAGCTGAGGTGTGAAGTACTAAATAACAAAAATGCTTTAATTCGAATGCCTATGTATTTCCGCAGCGTCATGCAAAGTTATTGATGCAAGAAGACTGATTCCACCTGGTTCTCACCACAACCAAGAGCGAAAGCTACTTAAACATTAGTAAACTAAGTCTTCGTAGGGATCAATGGTGGGTAGCAAAGCAAGAGATGGAGAAGGCATCAGCATTGACTGTCAGCCAATAATTAGACTTACTAAGGGAAGTAGCAAGAAAAAACACGATGGTTAGTCAGACTGTGACCGAAGAGGATGGCATCCTAATAACCTCCCAGGACAGGTGGCTTGGAAATTGAGAAGAAACTTTGAAGCACAGTTCAACTAGCCCCCAACAACCCTTCAGTTGCCCAATATCCGACGTGAACCTGAATGGGATGTAGATGTAGGTCCTCTAACTATCCTTGAAGTTGAGAAGCTGTATCGAACCTGAAACTATGCAAAGCAGCTAAATCTGCCAGTTTTTCACCCTACGTTTTCGAAAATGGAGGTAGGAAATTACTGATTGGAGTGACTGATGTACTAAGTAGTGCTTGGGAATCAGAGGTGATGCTGTCAAACCTGTCTACTTCTCTGATCACCACAGCCTACTTAGAAGAGGAGAAGTCTTTCTGTAGAGGGTGTAATAATGGACATAATCTTGGGTACGTCTGACTTCACAGGGATTAATCTACCCGGTGGAGGTCATCTGGTTGACTTGGAGTACGCAAGCAACGATGTCCTGTTAGGTGAAGACATTGACAAGTGCAGTCTCCTGAGCATCTTGAGTAGAAATGTGAGTATGTGTTGGCATGCGTCTCTCTGGCACCTGTCAAATAGAAGATAATGCTCTATGACTGATCTGCAGTCACTCTTAGTTCAATGATGGGAAGTGAAGTAGTGGAACATGTTGATAAATCTCACTTACTTGGGGATTTGCATCAGCCCGAACGGACCGGATGCTGGCGAAGAAATCTCAACTCGGAGCCGTCTGGCATCTGCCAACCTGCAGTACCTGTGGTGCCGGCGAGATATCCGATTATCTTTTTAGGGACGATTATACCGTGCTTCAGGTTGATCTGTCGTGCTATACAGTTGTGAGACATAGCCGTAAAACCAGAAGGGATGAAGAGATTACTGTGTTTCGATCGAAGGTGTCTTCGTAGCACTGCTTGCTTTTGGTGGAATCTCAATGGGAGCAATGTTAAGATCAGGCAAAGGGTACTGGGCAAGACAGGCAAGTTGATTGACTAGGTTGTTAACTTTCATCGACTGAGATCGCACGGACATGTGTTACCCACGCCGAATCCCCACCTACCTCTATGAACCATGCTGAACTAAGTTGGATTGGTTGGAAGGCGGCGGCTCAAGGTGGCCAGATCAAGATGTGGCGCCGGTGCATGAAGTCTCTGACCGTTGATCTGAGTCTTTTGGGGAAATGAGGACTCCCTGGCTTGGGTCCTTGAGTCGAAAAGATTCTGTGATAGAGAGCTCATGGTGACATGGCTAAAAATCAGTCTCAGTGGCCCAAATTTGTTGGATTCCTGACTTCTTGTAAAGCTTAAATATTTGCACTCATGGATATCCTCAAATTGTTAATTCTGTCACACAAGCTTGTGTACTTTGTTATCAGTCTTTCCTATGCACGTGTTCTTTGTAGAATAGTGTTAAGTGTGGCAGTTTGAACTCATGCACTTGTGTGCCGGGTTCTGCGTTTATTTCGTCTGTCTATGGTTTTAGGGAATTATTTGCCGTTACAGCTCTCTCCTTCTACTAAGGACCCTCTGACAATAGCCTAATGAAAGAATCTGATGCCTTCATCACCAGTGAAACTCCTGAAAAGGTCTCCGAGTGGACTCGTCTTGACGATCTGCGCTCATTCTAGGACGTCGTTGGGAATGATGCAGTCAGTAGATCGCAACGTCGACCTCGATCCTTGCATCTCGTTGTTTCAGTTCCCTGCTTGTTGTGCCTGGAATGCAAAAGAGAAACTTGTAGTACCTTGACAAGATTTTCCGGAAGTGAAAATCTTAATAGTGGCATGCCACAGGGAAGAGGAACATCGGTGAAAAGTTTGATGATAATTTTTTGAATGGTGACCGCGTGTGCAGAGAAAGTACAGTATTGATAAAAAGGACGAAAAATATTTAAACTAGTGTCAGTGGCAGTGCCTCGACGAAAAAAACCAAATCTAGCAAATTCTTAGGTACAACAATCAATTAAGTATGCTTTCAAATTTTTTTGGGACCTGATGGTTTGATTTGAATGTGTTTATTTGTTATGTGGAGGATATTGGTGTATCTATACCGTCGGGCGGATCATCAGGGTACTCTAATACCAGACTATCTTCTACCAGTTGACTGTTCTGAGCAGAAAAAGATGTCGCTTACAATGAGTTTGTCTTCTAACGGTCCCAAACGATCGATACTGACAGAATTTCCACAATCGTTTAGATTGGTAACATAAAACTTTTTGTGTCATTTGATAACTGAATGGTCCACCATAAAGTGATCCAAGTGGTCGACGAATATTATCTCAAAGAACAAAAATGTATGATATTTTTTGTAAAGTGGGTTGAACAGGAAAATACTTAACTGGATACATTGCGTTTTTATGTCTGGTGACGTAAGACGTTCTGTTGAAAACAGATGTAAAAGTTATTGAGGCGAATTAGCCTTTTAGTTGAGAAGTAGTGCCATAAAGAAGTTTTGCGGAAGCACATTCATCATTAGCTTTCAATGCGTTCAGCTGTCAGTGGAAGCATTCTACGATACCGTTTGCAGGTGAATGATAGGCTATTATTTAGAACTAAGTGCGACCTAAGAATGTAGTTGGAGCATGAATAACTGCGTAAAATGATATTATACTTTTGACAGACTACATATAACCGAGTCCATTCTTTGAAGTCCTTTTTCATTCCAGACCTGTGGAAGCGTTGTGGGATAAGCTTCTTCGATCCTCAGCTGCCTGTGGAGCTGTGGTTATCGGTCTAGACACTTAATTTTCAACCCATGGGACACGAGTTCGAACCCAGTTCCATCTACCACCATTTGGGCAACCACACATTAAGTGTGGTTCATTACCTACTGCACTAATATGTGCACGAGGTCGCTGAGTGGATTTCGACTTTTCCCACTCGATTTCGTACTCATGGATGAAATAATTTGTTCTGTTTATTGAAGATGTGTGTCGAAATCTCTTGAGCACTATCAGGTGTGGTTGATCAGCAGATTTGTCGAATAAAATCATATTTTACTGGAACTCAGTGGTTGAAGTTGTAGTTTGTGAGTTCCCAGCAACAGTCTGTGATTCAGCACAGAATATTCTTTTTGAAGCCAAGCCATTTCAACGAAACCAGGACGTTCGATACAGTTTATCGAGGATATTCGAAATTGCATCAGCTACAGAATTATTTACTCCACTTAGGTGACAGATAATAAAAATGAACTGAGGAACGTAGTCAAGTTTTCGTGACTCACGTGTATTAGATGTAGAGCTAAAGAGGAAGAAAATAAGCGGTTTGTGGTTTTTGACAATTATGAAATGAAGACCTTTGACGCAGTGTCGAAAATGGCTCACGGGACAATAAATAGTCGTGAAATATGCCCTATCTCGTTTGCGCTTCTTGCAGTTATATCAGATAAAGGTTACTGACTGCCACTGGTTTTAGATTAGTTGCTGTAAAACTCCGATTGCGTAGTCGGAAACGTTGATCGCAATTCCCAAAGGTGCTTTAGGATTTTGATGCACCTTAAAAAGGGCAAATTTAGCGTGTCCCGACTCACAAACTTTATATTCACACAAAAGAGATAGGTGAGTAACCTTATAAGAGAGACAGTTCGAAAGAAATTTGACAACTTGGTCAACACGAAATTACTTTTCGCGTTGTTGGTCTATCTCTTACCAAAATAGTCCTTAAGAGTGAAATTTATTACTCATTATCTGACATTCCTATTTTTCTCAAGTCGCTTAGAAAGCCTGGCTATATCACTCAGTACCTGAGCTAATATTTCTTTAAAATGGTGCATAGAGTTCACGGAAAACTCCTGATGTTTAAAACCCCATTCGCTGCAAAGGAGAAGGTTCAGTAGACGTCAACTTTTCATTGTTTGTTAAGAGAATGAAAAAAGAAGCCAGGAAACCTCACTTTCCTGAAGTGATATTTGTGGATTTTAAAAAGCATGAGTTTTTTTTTATTACGTTTATGTCGTTTGGTTTCTGTGTAGGGAAACACATGTATAATAATTCGATATATTTGCCCGATTAGGTGTGCAAATTACTTCCGTAGTCGGCTAAGGTTTTCAACTCTGACATAACTATTAAATACTGGTGGTAGTTTCTAAACGGTTTCACTCGGAATTATCATATTCTGTGTATAAGGGACTGTCTTACTTGCAGAGTTTTTAAATGAAATCAGTGCTATAAATGATTGTTGTGCACTGTTTTAAAATGTTAAGAAATACTACAAACTATGAAAGTGTGATTTTCGTTTTCAATGTGAAATTAAATGAATAAGTTCTCTGCCATATAGAAACAAATGTGTATTTTTGATTTCAAATTAGAAGCTATTTAATATATCAGTTTTCCTTTTAAATATTAGTCATCCTTGAACGTGAATCAAGGAATCAAAGGCGAATCAAATGGACAACATTTAAAACCTATAGCACCGGCACCATCACATTCTATAATGGGATCTTGTGCTCAAATATCTGGGACTCATTGCATTGAAATGAACAAGTTTAGTGGTTTGAGTTGTAATGATGGATCTCACCCACCTATATTACCAAAGACTTCATCGACCGACTCACAACCTGTGAAGAAAACCAGAGGACGCAAGCCTCTAAATCGTGGGAATGAAGTTGATAAAAATCGTCAACGGAAACCAAGAAAAAAACAAGAAGTTGAAACTCCATCTAAAGAAGATCAGTCTGACGCTACACCCGATCCATCTGTTTTCATAACTCCGGCAACAAAGCGTCCAAGAGGTCGTGCTGCGAAGAAGTTTAAGTTGGAGGCTGAAGTTGTCACTAATCTAACTCTAGATCCGTTCGCGATTGAGAACATGAATGAAAATCCTGACACGAAGGCTGAAAAATCTCTTTCAGACTGTAAAAGGCGCCGAACTTCAGTCTGTCCGGTTGAAATACGACAGAAGAGAAAGTATAGAAAGTCTCTAAATCCACTTCTGATTTACAAAGCGATTCTTCGAGTGTGATACAGCCCTCAGAGACAGTTTCTCCTGATCCTTCACATGTACCTGAAACAATAACTCAGCAAGTTAAAATTGTTCGAGCCAGACCTCGGCCGAAAAGCGACGGTATGTCTATATTTATTACCTGTATTTTCAGTAACTTGTTGAGTACTTTCGAGAAACAAGGCATGGGTTTGGATTTTGGTGTATTTTTGCTTGTTTTCAGTGTAAACAATCATCCATGCAATTTTGTATGGTAAACTAAGAATCATCCTTGTAATTTGCTAGTTACTGATACCATCTAGTTACGCGAAACTTCAATCGGTAAACGATCTTGTACCCAATATGCATTTACTAATCTCATTATATTTTCATCAAACACCACCAGCCTTGAATTTAGGCTCTAAGAGTTTGCTTGTTGATTGAGTGAATTTGTAGTGCAGTTGTTGCTAACACTGACGTTGGGTAATTCTAGTCAAGAATTAAGACCAGTTGACATGGTTTTTAATATGTCACCTGGGATTATTTGAATGAGTTATCTTCCCATCAGCCGCATGCCTGGTTGTTTGTTATCTGAAATAAATATGAAAATGTCAAAAGTACCTGACCAAAATATTAGTCCATAATTGGTGAGGTCAATCCTTACGTACTGTATTTGTACAGGAAGAGACGTAGGTTGACTCTAATTTATTCCAGAGAGCAGATTGTAGAGAATAGAAAATTTGCGCAACTTTGTGTGTAATTAGTCGTGATCATGTAGGTGTATTCACTTTTTTCTCTGATATGAAAAAACGAACGATTCAACACTAGTCTTCTCCATCTTTCCATTTTCATTTGTATCTTATTTCATTATACTGTTCACAGATTTATCGATATACTGCGGTATTGTATCCTAAATTTTTTCATATTTATCAAACCAAGATTTCGATTCGTGTATCAAACTTTGCAAGTGAGTAGTTCGTTCAACGAATTAGTCGTCTTTATTAAGAGGTGAACCAGTTGCACTCCAATTTCTTTGTGTGCTTTTACTAGGATTTACTAATTTCATTCCACTTTCGTTTAATGGATGTTAAACACATACATCTAATTACTTTGGAGTGCTAGTGTGTCTGATATACTCTTTACTGGATTTCTCAGTATAACAAGATTGGTTAGATAGCGATAAAATCTAAGCCAAGTACATCCATTTCTTGAATCCCATGGAAACTTGGGGCATTAATATTTGTATTTTCCTCTGAGGATGCTAATTGATGACTTCTCGGCCGTTAATTGCTACTTTCGCATGGTAATCAGGCTTGCATATCAATAATCCAACGAGTTATGTTGACTGAGACGACTACTCTTTAAAGTCTTACCACACCCGGTGACGATACCATGAAATCTCAATCCAAAACTCTTAAAAAGACAATATGTAATTAGTCTCAAACAGATATCCTTCTTTAATAATCCATTTTCTCTTTCATATCCCTTACTTAACTGACATAGTATTTCGCAGCCGGGGAGTATCAACTACCCACATGGCTGCAGCAACATACAAAACACAATCATAGTCTGCCCTCCTTACCTATGTCTCTTCCTTTGCCTTCATACGATACCAGCATTCAACCCTCTATAGTTTTTTTCACTTCATCCTGTGACCACTGCTAAAGATCCAAACCAGAAAACCACCATTCCTAATCTCCTAGAACAACTCTGATATTTCACTTTGAAGCTTTCAGCTTCCGAATTGTATGCTAATTCGAACAACAGCCCGCACATGCTAAAACTCTGGAATCTCAAAGAATGTATGATGTTTTTTGAGAAATGTACACATGATCCAAGTGTGGTTATTAAGTTGACCTCACCTGGCCGATGCGGTGAATTTTCAAAATTTACTTTATGAGTATCCGGAAATTCAGTGACTAGCTCTCATGGACTAGGCGGTGTAGGTAGGTATAGCGTTAAGTTATGGAGAAGAAAGCGCACTTTTTGACTGGATACTAACCGATAACCGTCTGTGTGCTGTATGACTGCATCAGTTTGTAGGAACTGGGAACGATTGTAGCACTGCACGATAATGATATACAACCTCTGTATGTTCACGTACTGACCGCCGTTTGAACTTGACGTAGAATAACTTCTAAAAACGTCAGTCAGTTTCGCTACATGGTTCAAAACCTTTTAATATAGTCATAATAGCTAGTGACGTTCAAGTAGAGAAACAGCCTATCCAAAGGGCATATTAGAAATATCTACGATGTCCCTGCAGACAAGGTGATAACAGTGGTCGTTCTGACAATCACTTGTTTCACCTCTTAACCAACGATGAACGCAGATCATAGTGCCTCAAGCCACCTCTGGAAAATATCGGCGGGCGATTACCACTCTTCTTTGATAACAATAATCACGTTATTTTTGGAGTAGCTGCTTAAATTCGCACCAGGCGTTAGTATGAGTACATGTGCGTTTGCACCCAAATGGATTCAAGAAGCAGCAGTCAAACCTCTGTTTACTTTACTGAAAGATGCGAATGTTGTGTGTAGTTAGAAAAGAGAGCTTATCTTATATCTGAACATGCCAGCAACATCCATCTGGATGAAGCTTGGTGTTATTATTCGGTTTGCTGTAGAAACAGCACTGAAGACAGTTAGTTATTGATCGTCAAGGGTGAACACCAGTGATGCTACTACCTGTCTACCTATACCTCACCAAACAGAGCGGGTTTCGAAACTGATTCTTCGGGTGAAAGTGGAGGGCATAGACCGATAAGATATTGGAAAAAAGGTGGAGTTACATTAAAACCGGGTAATATTTGACAATTATTCGGACTCTGATGACGTCAAGAAGCGAAAGCAGCCTGGAAGTAAATCGACAAAGAGTCTTCACACTGACCGCGAGCAGTGGGGGTGGCGAAAACGAAAGAAATGGAGAAGTCATCAGAACTAGATAGTGCCTGTCAATTATTTAGGCTTATTAAGGACGTGAAGAGGAAAGCGATGTTTAGTGAGACTCATCAGAAAGATTAGGTCCATAACCTTTTAGATTAGGTTCATGGACCGTCAAGTGAATACTTTATAGTAATGGAAAAAAATACGAAATGACTAGCGTTTTCAAAAATAGGTGTAATTTTGTTTAAATAACTCTCGGTAGTAAATTGAGTTCATCCTAAAAACTGGTTGGGCCCCACCCTGTAATTTCAGTGTGGTGGATATCATATTTACCACAAACGGTTTTTAAGGATAGGTGTAAAAAGTCACTGATTAAAATAATGGGTACTAAGCGTGTATTGGGATCGGAAAGGGAATGGTGTCTGTGGCTGATGAAACTTGTGCTTGGAACCAAATAGCTTGTCTGGAATTCACCAACCTACCTCATCTCTGGTGCCGGTGAGATATCCAACTGACCATCTCACCAAATGATGAGTAAGTAGTTCACTCTAACCTATTATAGGACTAAGACATGACAGTTGAAAGTTGAAGACTCGAATCTATCAGAGGTTTTCGAGCACAGGTGTCCTCATTCATGACTTTGCTTGGATATGGTGTTAGCTATGTGGTTGTTAATTGTAGAGCACTGGACAAGGGAGGCACTTCAGTTGTTGAAGTTGTGAAGCTTGACCGACTGAGGGTGACCTGGACATGTGTTACGCATACCGAGTTACCGCCCACCTCGATATACGATGTCAGCTGAAGGAGGAGCATGTTAGAAGAAGACTAAAAGGTGAAGAATCAGACGAAGACGTGGCACCAGTGCGTGAAGCCACTGATGGTTGATATGAGTCATATAGGTTGGTTTATTGGGATCCTGGAGACGGACGATGTGAATGAGTGACTGATTGGAGATTTTTAGTGGTATTGCTGAAAATCGGTGTATACACTTTATCATTTTCATAGTAATGAGTATTTTGACTAACCTTCATCTGTTTTCTTTCCTGTTTTATATTTTCGCCTGTTATATATCTTTGTGCTTCATTTTCCCATATGTGCTTGTGCGAAGTGGGGCTGACTGAACTGTTACACTTCACCATTTTTTATATTTGTTTGTTTGCCTGTCTGTCAATTAAGGATTCTTATTTGTACATGGTGCAGGATGGCTGTTGTGAAATTTCCTCTTCAACTTCCTAAGATTAATTCCATTTACTCCCTGAAATTAGTACTGAAATAAGATTATTCAGGTCAAAAGTTATCTGTTTATTACGAATGAAAAATCGAAATGCAAAACTGAAAACTTGGGTAGTGATAAGGAATGATGAATGAACTCTGCATACAATTGTTTTTTATGTTTTACGTAATTTCCCGCAGTACTTTTTTGAACATCTTTCGAAATAACGGACTTCGATTTGTTTCAGGCCGTTGCCTACATTGATTAAACGGAAAAAGCGCTCAGCGTTTTATGGAGATGATTCAGGATCTGAGCCTGAAACACTTAATCGTGCTGGATGTCGAGCATCTGAAATTCGATTGGAGTCTGAAGGAGCTAATAACTTGAGTTATGTAAGTTTCTTATTGAGTCAGTTTACTTTTTGTCTTTTTTAATGTGACTTAGTGACCATTGAATGAAACTAATCTTGTAGTCTAGGGGACTATTCTATAGGATGGTAGGAGTAGGAGTTATTTCCAAGTGATTTGCGAACAAAAACTTTTTCATTTCGCTGTCATTGAACTGACTTTTTCTACCGTTGCTTGATTTATTAGCGATACAGTGCAGTTTTTATTTAAACCTCTCTACCTAACAGAATATATGGATATTTCGGTGCTTTTTTTCAATGCAACGAAATAATTCCGATTACATGAAATATCCTCTACTTCTGTGCTTTGTCCTGCACTGGTTTTACTTTATGTACAAGTTCTATACAGTCTTTCATTTCAGGACTACATTAAAAAAAATTTCTATAGAAATCGGTCTTTATAAAAACACAGGATGGTTACTACTTTAAATTCTTACACATCTGACATTATTTTTTCAAAATCCTTGAAAACTCCTGCACATTATTATTCTGCAGAATATTATAATTATAATTTCGTTTTTTACACTGGGACATAATGCGGAATATTCTACTTTGCAAGTCTCATCAGTTTTGTTACGTGATGTGAATTATCTTGGCATACAAATTTAGATGAATTTGTCATGGACTAACTTATCCCCAAATAGTAGGTTGTACAAGTACATTTCCATAGAATGCGTATCTATCGTTCCCCACTATTTTACTTGTTGCTTTTAACTATCTTTTCAGAGAGTGATGCTAAGTATGAAAACAGAACCACTTAAATTGCTGTAGATTTCTACATTCTTAAGACATTGTTATCGAAATGTCTGGATTAAGTAATCGGAAACCATCCATGCAGCAGTCCAGAATTGCTACATTGCGTAAACCAGTTACTGATGCAGATTGTGCAGCTAGAAAGTCACACTAATGCGGGAGCTGCGGGTTATCATTTACAACGTTTCATAAATCTGTATTCAAGTTCGCTATGTAATAATGGGAATAAGATTTCTCTATTTCTATTATCTGAATATAATCATTTTGGCGCTTTAAGGTGATATCAGTTATTACTGCTGGCTTTACTAAATGTGAGGCAGAGATGAACTCCTGGTTGGTATTTGCATGTCATCAGTTCAGAAAGTGTAATTCCATTTCAAGGCGACGATACTGAGTGTGGCGTTTTTAAAAATTTATATCAATAGGGATAGCGTATTTCTGTACACGTAGTTGTGCTGTTCTTTGTGTTTTAAATAAATAATACTCCGTAGTTGCTTGTAAAATAGGAAAAAAGCAACAGCCCAGTAGCTGTTACCTTAATGTGGTGGTCGGGCTAACATATCACAATGACCTAACGAGCTACACTGGCAGGTAGAAATAGCCTTTCATGGTATGGGCAGCCGGTAAGTGTCAGTTGCCTGTACACTTCCAGTAGTGCGCAAAACTTCACCAAACATAACCTATCCTCCTCGACTCTATCTCTTTCTTTGCATTCACCTCCTGATACTAGTGTTAAGCGCCTTACGCCTTCCCCAACCTCTCACTCTGCGAATATTAGGGATGATTAATGCCATTGAAACCTCATTCCTAGTCTCCTACGACCCTACCATCAATTTTATATAGGAACTTTCAACGTCCGAACTCTATGCCATATCGGACAGGAAACATCGCTCTTCAGAATTCTGGAACCTCTCGTCATCGGTATATGCTGTATCTGAGACACGTACGTATACTGGACCCGACTGTGTTTGATAAATTGATCTCATTTAGCCATATTATTGAATCTTCAAATTCACCTTATGAGTATTTGGAGACCCGTGGCTAGCTGTCGTGGACTCTCTGATTGGAGTGATTGATGTACTAAGTAGTGCTTGGGAATCAGAGGTGATGCTGTCAAACCTGTTTACTTCTCTGATCACCACAGCCTACTTAGAAGAGGAGAAGTCTTTCTGTAGAGGGTGTAATAATGGACATAGTCTTGGGTACGTCTGACTTCACAGGGATTAATCTACCCGGTGGAGGTCATCTGGTTGACTTGGAGTACGCAAGCAACGATGTCCTGTTAGGTGAAGACATTGACAAGTGCAGTCTCCTGAGCATCTTGAGTAGAAATGTGAGTATGTGTTGGCATGCGTCTCTCTGGCACCTGTCAAATAGAAGATAATGCTCTATGACTGATCTGCAGTCACTCTTAGTTCAATGATGGGAAGTGAAGTAGTGGAACATGTTGATAAATCTCACTTACTTGGGGATTTGCATCAGCCCGAACGGACCGGATGCTGGCGAAGAAATCTCAACTCGGATGCAGAAGGGCCGTTTTGTACATACCAATTTATGTCATCGCTGGTACTTACTAGTGAGATATGTGACTAACTTTTGAACGAAGAGTCCAATAAGCTTCAGTTCCTTCTGTCTTGTTATACAGCTGTGACATATGGGTGTTAAAAGTGGAAGATATGAAGAGAATACAGGTTCATGAACGTAGATGTTTTCGTAGCATTGCTCACGTTTCATGGAGTCAACGTTTGAGCAATGTCGGGGTTAGGCTAGTGATACTAGGTAAGACGGGTAAGTTGGTCGATGAAGTAGTGAACCTCATTCGAATGAGGTTGCTTGGAAATGTCTTGTACATCTGGAGTCACCGCCTACCTTGACGTGCCGTGCTGGAGGAGCCAGGATTAAGTCGGCAGCGGGTTCAGTGTGGCTAGACCAAGATGTGGCACCAGTGCATGAAGTTTCTGACTGTTGATCTGAGTCATGTGAGGAAATGTAGACTCCCTGGCTGACTCCTGGGGTCGAAAGGAATCAGTGGTCTAGAACTTTTGATGACATGTCTGAAAATCAGTCACAATGGTGCAGAGCTATTCACTCATTGGCATTTATAGCTTGAATATTTTTACTAAGCGTTATCCTCAAATTGTTAATTCTTTCGCACAACTTTTTCTACTTTGATATCAGTCTTTTTCTGTACATTTCCTCTCTGTATGCCAATGTGAATTTGAGTCGATGCACTTGTTTGTGAAGTTCTGCTTTGATTTTGTCTGTTTTTCTGATAATGGAGTATTTGTTGTGGGAAGTTAACAATTGGGAAGTCACACCGATAGTCATAAAAGAAAACCATAAGACAAATGAAATATTAGTATATGATATTGCTGTTAAGATGCAATAATGCGTCGAAAGTTGCCGTTGAATGCAAAGTTATGCCTTTTTTTAAATTGTTTTAGAAGCGTCGTTCTGAGCGTCACACTGGTGATCGAAAAAGCTATACCGATGATTTGGAGCTTAATCTGACTGATGATGAAGTTGATGTTCGGAATGGTGAAGTGATCACTTTGAATGATTCTGCTGTAAGTAATTTTAGAGACATTTCAAAGCTTAATAAACAATATCAATACTACAAAATGGATCTGTTGAACGAACAGTAATATGAGAGAATGAAGAAGAAAGGGATAAATTTGTACTATGGTTAGACAGTCATTTTATGAGATGTCCTACTACCATCTTTCTTTGTTTTTAAGCCAGCCAGCTTACAGTTCGATACATGGGTACTAATATTAAAAAAATTACATGGTTTGATATTGTGATCATGAAATTATGATAAAACTTTACCCATAAAACGCTTACCCCAGTCAACATAGTATAGACACGATCAGTTAGTAGGGGATATGGGATGTGTCTAAGTTACTTAAGTTGGTAAATGTTTTATCCAGTCAATATCACAGATTGTCATTTCACGTTGAGATAACATCTTAACCTTCCGTGGTGTGGGCAGGCAGGAAGTGTCAACCGCATGGACGCTTCCAGCAGTGAAACTTCAATATCTATCGTTGGTTTTAATGAGCATGAATACCTTAGTGAAAATGCAGACTTGAAATGATCTTTCAGTTTTTACTATTTATGGACGTGGTTGTAATTCTCCGTTGTTTTACTGGATCGAATTGTTTGACTTCTTTTGGTATATGTGCTCCTATGCGGATGCCTCGATACTGCCTGGATGTTAATTATGGTAATTTACTTGGTTGTGGCTGGTAGTAACAGCGGCTGATGAGCCCCAAATAGGACGGGACGCGCGTTCTGGGTTCTTCTGCTAGCCACAACCAAGTAAATTACCATCTTCCAGTTTGTGAATATCTTCTGTCGTTAATAACGATGCTTAACACCTATTCCATGAGACAGTGGATTCTTGAACAAAAGTGTGGACGTCCTACAAAGCTAAAACCGCACTGACTGGTCACTGAAGAGTAACTAGTGTCATGTTTTCTAGACCCAGGTCCTGATCGATTTCTATAGATTAAGTTTGCAAGGTGGTCATCGATCTGAGATGCTCATCATCGTGATTCATTTTGATTGCTGATGGGTGGTTGGAGATAATCATCAGGACAACTTGAAACCATGTTTCGTAACTGTTCGCATTCGTCATCAAAGAGTATATTCAACCTGAAGAAAATGTTTATCCTCTCATATATGTTTATTATTATCATATTTCGTTTCTGTTTGCAACCTCTTTGTGTGCTTTTAGAAATTGTATGTTTAAACTGATGCACTTTTTTTTCAAGGTTCTCTGTTGATTTGTCTGCCAGCCGAAAGCATGGCTTCAAAATAATTTCCATACTGCGTTGGATAACGGCTTTGTAAAGCCTAGTGTCGAAAAATGGGAATAAGTTCCTTTGAATTCTTTATTATATGGTCTATCATGATGTGGGTGGTTCCCAATTACTCAGATAATAGCAATTGGTTGTCCTAGAAGTTAACTCTTCGAACCTTTTGATTAGAATTTTGTACCACAAGGCCGTAGGGAAACATCAGATATTGTGATGTTGACTGGCTAACGATGACCAGTTTACATTCATGCTCCATTCTCTGGTTAAGAGCTTATGTACCCTAGGGGTTTCCAACCTCGTCTGGTCAGTTCTTGCACATCTTTGAGTGCAGTGACTAACTGAATCCATTCGCTTTTCACAAATTTATCCTGTTTAACGGCAGTGGATCGAAGTTTCATAAGGTTGTCATCGCATAGTGGTTTTTAGGTGTGCATCTTAGTTTTTAAAAATATATCTATGTTGATTTATGTTCTATGATTATTCGTTTCCCCTTTGTCTACCTGCTCATTGCAAACCCCAAGGGTAAATCTGTAAAATGTCGAAATTTAAGTTGTATGGTTTCACTGGGTTTTGTTTATTTCTTACTTGTAACATCATCTTGTACTTTGGAAAATATACAGGATGTTGCTGAGGGTATTGACAATAAGATTGTCGAGTCTGTACTTGGTCGTCGAATCACAAAACGACTGGTTAAAAAGATTACTCAAACTGAGATCAAATCTCCGAATGATATTTCAGACAAAGGATTTCAGAATTCTGTAAATGCTTCAGGCGAGAAATCTCAAATCACAGTGATGGAAGAGGAGGGAGAGGAAGAGGTTGAAGAATTTTATTTAAAATACAAGTCCTAGTAAGTTTTAAGTTTCTCATTGTTTGGTTACTAGTTAATTTCACTTTACTCGACTTAACAATACTAACTATCACTGGCGATTGACTTTTAGCGCTTATCTCATTAAGGCATTGCCAGCTTTTAGTCCGCTTTCAGGATTATTTGTTGTATTATAGTTAATTTATATTTTATATATGAACAGATTAAGCCTGACTGAGAAACTTTTGAGTATCTTTTTAACTCGCCACCATTTATGCGATTGCTGTGATATCCAACTACCTACTACTAATGGCCAGGTGTACAGTGCCGCATTTTGCTCTGTGACTGTGAAACGTAACTACCTAAGGTAGATATGAGGTTACAAGAGTGTGCAACCACCATTGCCTCCGTAACATGGCGTCACCATGTTTGAAATGTGGATGTCAGGTGTAGAGTTTTATGGAGAAGAGGACTATCAGTTGATGCGGTTGTGAACCTCCATAGATTGAGGTAGTTGGGACACGTGCTAAGCATGTCTAGTCATCGTCTGCCTCGTCGCCCAATGTTGGCTGAAGTAGGTTCACGCTGGAAGAATGCCCTAAATAGGCAGACTAAAATATGGCATTACTGCATGAAGTCTGTAACTGTTGATCTGAGTTGTGCAAGGAAATGCAGACTAGCCGGTTGGGGTGCGCGTGACAGCAGAAACCAGTGGTTGGAGACTCGAGGCGATATGGTTTGGAATCGATGTCGGTGGCGCAGATTTATCCACACATTCTCATCCTAATCGTCGTAGTGATTTCAGTATATTCTATTTCATCTTTGCTATGTGCTGTCTTCCGCTTGAGTTTTTTCTTTGTCTTGCATGTCAGTGCATTCTCACTTGATGTACTGAAATGAGGTGTGGCAACTTTGACCATTTTGCAGTAATGCCATGTACTAGCAAGTTACAATCATTGTCATGTGAAGATGATTGAGTTCATTCTCTCACTGAACTAATAATTTTAGGTGTAAACTGACGTATATGTTGGTTTCGGTTGTTTGACTGTATGAATCAGTTTGCAGAACCATATTTAGAATTCTGTTCGTGTTTAAGTTTTCAGAAATGCCATTGTCTAAACTATCGTTTTAATAGCATTTTCATGTCGAAGTCTTAGGGAGTAATGATATCTCGTTATCTTAAAATCCGTTACATGGAACTATTTGGCGACAATACCAGGGCCTATGTCCATAATGCCTGTCCGTATTCATTGGTCATTCTTTATGATTCATTTCCGTAATGAGTGTATTAAGTGTCAGACATCCCAATTGTTGTACTAGTAGTGTACGCAATATAAGTCATATAAGGCAAATTGCTTGCCCTAGTTTATTCCGTAGCCTTTAAACGTATACTCTTCAGAAGGAAAGGCTTTAAATATTGAATGTTTTATTAAGGCTCTGAAACCATCATGTACAAGATGTGAATCTCTCCCAAGTGTGTTGATGATTAAATATCACTTACGTAGCCTAGATTGAGTTGAGGACTCTATCAAGTCGCTAACGACATTAAGACTGTATTCGAAAATTATGAAATCTAACGGTTCTGCGTTCGATCAGAAATGTAATTGATTGGTTTAAAGTTAGCAGTAAATTTCCCTGGCTTGTCATGACTCTAATTTAATTCGTTTCCCTATTTTTCTGAGTTAACTTTTGTTTGTCCCTATCTCCAAACTTATGATTCTTCCGTTGATGGTAAAATATACTTATTTCGACCTTTATTATCAGTGATGTGTATATATTTCGGCGAAGTGAATCCACAGATACACACGTATTTATTTGAATGCTGTGTAATTTCCCTGCCGCAAGGAATATGTCCTTAACATAGCTTAGCGAGTGCGACTCATTGCACGAGTAAGTTGATGCTACTTAGAATTCAATGGACATTCCACTTAAAACATGTTTTCGGCAGTATCATTTGTCATTGTGTTTCATGATATCCATATCTTAGCTAATTTGTTGTAGATTAGAATTGATTTTGGGATAATTAGCGTTATTGTTATCAAGTTCATATTCATACGGAGTGCAACCTTTCTTCTATTCATAGCCCCTGGATGGAAATTTCATAAAGTAGTCAGACGTTAAAAATAATAATCTGTAGGTAATATATTGTGAATTTCAAATGTTTCCTTTTTTGTAGTTCTTATCTTCACTGTGAATGGCGGGCTTTAGATGAAATTAGTGATCCACGCATCCTTCCAAAAATAAGACGGTTCGAAATAAGACAAGCCAACTCCATACGCACTGAGGTAAGGTGTGCTGTGTATATTCAGTGAAGAAACTGATTTGCATAGATTTCTTATTGATGTCTTATCGTATAGATAAATTTTATCACTTTCAATATTGGAATTCCTTCGTAATGCTTTTGTCTTTCTTCATTCATAGTGTTGGATGTGTATTTCCTTTACCGACACACAAGATACTACCTTTCAGATGATGTGTATGTTGTCTGTAAGATAGAAATCATGAACTGTCGGTAACTTTTGGGTTATGAGACAAAGTGTATTCTACATTTAATCTCTTTCAACCATGTTATGTTGAATCATATGTGCATAGTTTTTTACTCTACTGTTTGTTTATCTTTCAGGATGATGATGTTGTATTGTTTAACCCAGATTATGTGGAGGTTGAACGTGTCCTAGATGTCAAAGTTTACAACAATGGCCAGTTGGTGACAACAGAAAACAGTGGACATTCGTTGGATTTTAAAATGCACAGTAAACGACCCAGGGAACGCAACAAAATCCTCAGCGTTCGTGAGACAAAATGTAAAATTAAGAATGAGGTTGGATGTGACGATGTGATTACTACCTTGACAACAAATACACAAGAATCTATCTCTGAAATTCACTCAACAACACCACTTACTGATGACTTCAATGACAGTGAAAATAACTCGCATTGTCCTCATTCGGCCAATGCAGATGATAAGAATACATATAGCATTCACAAAACAGATCCCGAAGTAGATATGAAATCCAAAGATATTGTTTGTACCAGTCCTGTTGAACGATCATCATGTCAAAATGAAGAAAAAGATGAATTTGGAGACATAAACGACCCAACTACCTCTCCAACCTTTAAAGAATTTGAAATAGGTGACAGTCAGTTGGAATCAAGTGCAATGACAGATAACAAGACGGAAAAAGATGATGAGGTCGATGATAAGGATGATGATGATGACACTTCCTCGCCTGTTAATGTGACATATTATCTAGTTAAATGGCGTTCACTAGCCTATGAAGATGCGACCTGGGAATTGTCACAGGATGTTGATCCAGCAAAAGTTAAGGAGTTTTACAAACGGCGTTATCCACCGAAGAATCCTGTCATTCCACGAGACCATGATTACAAGGTACTTTCATTTACTATTTTGTTCACCACTCGCGTTTAAACTTGGCATGCATATGCTACTACCTGACTGATCCCAGTAACTAAATGAAGATTATCAAATTTTACAGAGTCGACTGTCATCTCGCATTTGCTTGTATCGTGTTTCATAACCATTTCTAAAGTTTTATTTATCTGACTCGGTAACTTAACAATCACCTGTGTTCATATATTTCGTAAAAACGTCAAAGTACCGTGAAAAGCCTGTGGTCTCATGCCTACGGCCACATTTTTCGTCGTTTAACCCATTCTGTATTTTTAAAAAAAGAATTTAAGCGAGTAGCTGTTGAAATTAGTTCATATTGTTGTTTTTCCAGTGCTTCGGTATCATATTTGAATGTACAAAATTTCTTCCATAAGGGTTATGGTAACAAATGTTCTCTTTTGGTTATTTTCTTATCGTGTTGTGCGAAGATACAATACAATGTGTGATGATTGCCCTATGTAATGCTTCTACAGGAAAATATTTTTTGAGCAAACATTATTGGCTGGAAAGCTAGTTATTAGTAGGAATAGGTTTTAGAGACTATTCATACATTATAACTCATACCCTATTAGTGGTTTCTGCCATAGAATCGTGGGAATCATATGCCAACAAAATGCTTTCATTTTACAACGCAGTGATTTAATTTTTCATTGATCTCTAATTAATGTTTATCATAATTTTCTCTAGTAGGTTTTTGAGCGCTCTCAGATTTGTACACAGATATTATCATTTTGCTTCCGAATGTGCTTTTAGTTCATCTATGTGGCTATAAGATTCATTGATCAAACGGAGACGAAATATAAATTCTATTCACATATAACCTTGGATGTCATGGTAACAGATAATGAAATCTCTTACGGTCGCTGTCAACTGTATTAGCAGACTAGCACCTACGTGGCCACCGAAATCGTTAATTGAAGACTAAGTGGAGTGCCTCCCAACCGATCTCAGTATCACAGACACATCAGCTCATTGTCATCCTAATTGTTATGTCATATTTAGTTATTTGCTTTTAACCACATCTAACCAACACTCATCAAAGTCATTTTGATTCTGAGTTTCCTAGCTTAGTGGCCATATTCCAAAATTGACCGCTATGATTCGACCAGCACTCATGACCAGACAACAGGAAACGGCTTACTCTCCAGTGACCAATCAATGTGACCATCTTTTCACTTTGCAATTTTCTTCAGTTTTGACTGTATCAATCCCCTGTTTTAACTTTCTTCTTATCATCGTTTATCTGGTTGTACTAATATAGGTTGTGGAGACTTGTATCGTTACGCCTTAATGCATGATCTCATGTAGATATTAAGGGATTGAATAATGTGAGGAGAAAACATAGCACATGATAACTCACGGTGTAATTGAGACAATATATGCACTCAGTCAGACTTCAGCTGTGAACCGTCTCCAGTTCTGCAGACATTCTTGAGTTGATCCTATAAATCACAAAAATCAATGATTGGTCTACTTAAATAACAGCCAAAAACTGATGTGAACTGTTTGTATGAGCTTATTTTTCATCTTACAGTGAATATTAGACGTAATACTATCTTCTGTTTGGTTGTTCCTTGTGTTAGCTCATCCTTTTCTCTTTGTTTTCGTATGCTATCCAAGTCATGTACGAACACACTAGTTTCCCACTTGTTATATTAGCTTGTTTATTAATGTTTCCACTTTGTTTTGAGAATTAGTATCATTGGTAGTTGCCATCATTTGTTTTAATTTCTTTATGTATTATGTATCAAACGGCTAGACGAGTCTTGTATATTATAGCCAACTATTAGTATTTTCTTATGTTTTATTGTGTTTCTGCTAAACTCGGCATAACCCTAATATTTATTTACTGACTGTTTATTGTCTAGTGCGATTTCCATGGTTTATGGCACAGGTATAATTCGTTTGCAACGGTTAGTTTCATACACACTACATGAAACAGTAATCTCTTTTACTTTTACTGAATGCTTGGAGGTCGGGGTGTGTTTATATATAACTAACAACCACAGCATTTCTGTTTGCTTTCATATTTCCAGATTATTCGACCTGATCCTTCTACTTGGAAGCCAATCGACTCTAGTACAATCTATAAAAACAATAACAAATTACGAGATTATCAAGTAGAAGGTGTTAACTGGCTAACATTCTGTTGGTATCATCATCGTAACTGTATTCTCGCAGATGAGATGGGACTGGGCAAAACAGTTCAGAGTGTAACTTTTCTATTGGAAATATTTAAAGCTGATGTACAAGGACCTTTTCTAGTCATAGTTCCTTTGTCAACTGTTGGAAATTGGCAACGTGAATTTGAAAATTGGTCAGATTTGAATGTAATTATATACCATGGGAGTTCTGTCAGTCGGAGTATGATTCAGGAATATGAAATGTTTTACCGTAAGCGTTCATCAGGCGCACCTAGACACGATGTTTACAAGTTTCATGCGGTAGTGACAACTTTTGAAGTTCTCATGAATGATATTGAATTTTTTGGTCAAATTCATTGGGCAGCTGCTGTAATCGACGAAGCTCATCGGTTGAAAACAAAAAGTGCAAACTTGGTGAAGGCTTGAGATATTTAGATTTGGTAAGGCTAAAGTTTAACCTGAACCTACCTTTTTAATACATGTTTTATTAGCATAATCTAAAGAGTAAAAACAGTAACAATCATATACACTCTGTGGCTATTATGAATATAAGTCTTCTTAATGGCAACTTTTGGTCGAAAAAGAAGAATTTAACCCATTTCCTTTTCAGCTGACTTTCCGTTTTCAAAAATGTGTTCTATATGTGTGCATCTGATATAGTCTACAGTTTTCATTCTGACGATTACGCTTGAATATTTGCTGGAACCTTTCCAACTGTTAAATTATTCATATAGTCTTCAAGAAAATAACTCAGCCAATTACTTTATAAAGTACACTTGTAATATCGATCACATCATTGAAACTTTGATTTATATACAATTGTGATTGGGTGTATCGTTACTGGGTGACTAATGCATACCGCTTGGTTGCTATTACATAAACAGTCTCCTTTTGATTTGATGGTGATCTCACTAGATGATTTTGTTTTATCACTGTCCGCCTATAGGTATATATTTAATAGATAGACGATCAGATTTAATGGTTATACTAGTAATTCCCAATTAAACCATTCATTGGAATAGTTGTTATTGTGACGGGATATATTTTAGACCTACAAATCTAGGCAATTTATAGTGAATTTTTCATCGACTAAGTACTCATAAATAGACTGGTAACACTTAAACTTTCATTATTTTCGTGTTTTGTTACCTAGTATATTCTGTAGATAAGTTCCTGGTTGTGTACCTTTTGTATACTTATAGGACCATCGTGTTTTACTGACTGGAACTCCATTACAAAATAATGTTGAGGAATTGTTTGGACTATTAAATTTTCTGGAACCTGAGAAATTTAATTGTTCGACCACATTCGTCGCTGAATATGGTGAACTAAAAACAGAAGAACAAGTTGAACGCCTAAAGACAGTGCTAAAACCTATGATGCTTCGTCGATTAAAAGAAGACGTAGAAAAGAGTTTAGCTCCTAAAGAAGAAACAGTTGTTGAGGTATGTCACTACATCTTGGTGTGTGAGTACTGACATTGCGAAATTCATGTCGTATCAGTTTGTAAACAAACGTTTATGATATGGTTTGTTGCTTATCATCAGATTTTATATTCCTTCAATAGGTGGAGTTGACCAATATTCAGAAGAAATACTATAGAGCAATTATGGAACGTAATTTCTCATTTCTGTGCAAAGGTTCAACTACGAATGCACCCAACCTAATGAATATAATGATGGAATTGCGAAAATGTTGTAATCACCCATTTCTAATTAAAGGTGCTGAAGATGCTATTCTCTCTGAAGCCCAGGTACCGTTATTATTTTATTTTTATACTCTATAGAGTAGAGTTTAATCCATTTTTGACTCTTTCATTCGTGAGTGAAATGGCACTAGGCACGCTAGATAAACGGAACCCTCAGAAGGATCGAAAAATGTGCATTAGCTTTGAGGGAAGCAAGACAAGACGACATTCAATAAAATAAGCGATATCATCGAGTAACCTCCTAAATGACAACAGCATGAATACCACCATATCTGATAAAGATAGTTTGATAATAATGATGCACAGGGTGAATTATTTCAAGGAAAAGGGCAAATACGTGTAAAAAGCAATACACGATAACATTCCGAAACCTATAGACACTCATACATAAGCTTAAAAAAATCTACAGCTGATTGTTATATTCCTGAGTTAACCTGGTCGCTGATTTGCTGTAGCTTTGTCTGGCTGCAACTGACTTATGCATGTGGTCCGGCTAATTCATTGCTAACACCGACCTTGAAATTGATTGGTCTCGAACATACCTGCCCACACGATGAGTCACACAATTCTGCCCTCGCAACCTTTTACAACAGAACACAAAATCTGCTGTTTATTGTTCCTCTATTTAGGCGATCTCATTCATCAGTATAGGTAACTGAATTTCGAACAATCTGATCAATCACACATTTACTTGTCAGGTCAATTTAAATTAAACCAAAGGGTGAGAGGATAAATATAACAATTAAGATAGTAGGGGATCTGTCATGATTTTATTGTCCATATTCATACCACCAGGTGTAATTATTGAGAAATAAATTATTCTTAGTGTGTCTCAGATTCTCTGTCCTACTGGTAAGTATGTTTGCCTTACTAATACGTTTAACCAAACCTACTTCAACTCAGCATGATATTCCAAGTCTTATTTGCGATTAAAATGGAAAGGTTTCCTGTTGACACCTAATATGAATATGAAAGATAATTTATGTCATTGGCATAAGGAATATCATCTTACCTATCGATATGCTGTATCAGTATCTGGATCATTCATAGGTGTAAAGTTATCTAAAGATTTTAATTAGATTAGTGTTTACCAACACAATTTTCGCTTGGGACCGAACAGTTTTTAAAGGTAAAAATGTTTATTCTACTCTTAAAGATTTTGCAAACCACATACGTCATCCAGTTTTCTGTCTGAATAAGTGGAATCAGTTACTTCTTTCATAAAAATGATGTAAATAAGAATCAGCTGCTCAAACTACTAATTGAACTCCAGCTTTATTGAATCTGTAAACCAGGTCAACGTGATGGACAGTGCACAGTGGGATCAAAATTCATGTAAATTAACATTGCAACAAACATAATCATTAAACTTGTGGTATGAGCGTTATTAGATTTTTGTTGTTTTCCTGTTGATTTTTCGCTTTATAAAAAAAGTTTCTTATCGATATACATTTTTATGTTACCTATATTCTTGTTTTCCTTATTGATGTTCGTATTTCAGTCGAACGATGATACTCTTAATGAAGATGAACTGGCCTTCCAAACTATGGTTTATGCTTCGGGCAAGTTGGTTTTAATTCATAAATTGTTACCGAAACTGCGTGCTGATGGTCATAAAGTACTCATCTTTTCACAAATGATTCGTGTACTTGATATTCTTGAAGATTATCTTGTTCATCAAGGGTAAGTCTCAATAGCAGAGTTGATCATTTCATTTCTCACTTTGACTTCTGAATTACGCCGTTTTTACATTGTTTATTATTGTTTTACTGATTCTTGTTCGGCTCTTCGTAACTTTTACGGTTATTATGTTTTTATACTTCCGGTTGGCTAAATGTCATATTCGCCACAATGTGTAAGTTCATTCTTTTACTAATTGTTTTTCTCCCATATTATCTGCATACGAGCAAGTCTCACTTTTATTCATGAAAATGGTAGTGAATCAATAGTTATCATACAATATGTAGCAATTATGTAACTCTGAATTGGTCTCCAGTCAATTTGTTCATCGAAACTCTTCCATCTGTTCAATCCTTATAGTCAAGCCAAGATAACTTGAACGTAAGCGGGCGGTTATCTATGCAGATTTGAAATCTCACCAGGGAATTTGTACTGTCAACGATTTATCCTAAGATCGAAATCAGCATCATGCACTTGTTATTCCCGAAAAGTGCTAAAATAGTATTTTGAAGTAACCATGGGTTAGAGATCGTCGTTATTCTCAGGTTCATTAACCACTTTTTACAACCCTAAAGTAGATTAAATTGCAATTCCAATGACCAAGTGAAGCAGCAAAATGTATAGCATTCAAACAGAAATTTCTTCCCATTTAGCGAAGCTAAATATGAAGTATCAAAGTTGAGATTTTGAAGTAATAAGAATGTAACTACGCCTTGGTTCATAGTCATCCTGTTTGGGGTTCTAAATCATATTATTTACTTTTTCTCGAGCAAATAAGATGTATTCCTACTGACAACACTTTAATAAACACACTTCCTAATTAATGCGTTTTCTGTAAAGTTGGCCTAACAGTTCAAATATTACCATCATCTCACCTTCTGCTGTGTAATCGACCAACTATTTTCACTGATCGTTTAACATAAGTTTATACTTGATAACAGCCTAAAAATACTTATTATCATTTGGGTATTTTCTTTAGTTGTCAGTACCTCTTTTATCTAATTGAGCTCACCACATTATCAATTTGAAGTATCAGAATTATAGGGAAAGGAATGTTTTTATCAAATTTTGAAGTGAAGTGCAATTCACTAATCCTTTTCTTTGTATTTAGATTTCAGTTTGAACGTATTGATGGGCGAATTCATGGGCCATTGCGTCAGGAAGCTATAGATAGATTTAGTGTTGGTGAGTTGAACAACTTTTAAATCAATATAATTACATGTCAAGTGTGTCACTTACAGCTGTTAGGTTGTAATCACCCTCGATAATTTTTTAGGTTAGGAATTGTTTTACCATTTGTGCATATCTTTCAAAAGAGAACCCTAATTGATTTCCAAAACGACATGATATTTTCTCATATTTTATCACATATAACGAATATGTTCATACTAATCATTAGGTTTGTAAATTTACGTGACATTTAATGATGCGTCTCTGTAAAATTACTGCAGTAGTATTTTGGTCGGCACTTGTTAGTTAGATTGAAAAATATAGATTATGTATTTCTATACAACACTTTAGAAGAAAAGAACAATTCAAGAATGCTATTTGAAAAAATTCTTTACAATCAAGCAGAAGAAAGTCGATTAGTAGACATTAAAACGTCGTCAATCGTATATATTGAAACCGAATTCCAGTGATCGGATTTTTTTTTAACCCTAGAGATACAATAAAAAGCCCAATTTCTATTCATGGCTTAAAACAGTCAAAGGTGTCTGGTTAAATTGATTGTTTAGTCTGTAAACCTTGACTGCTGCAATAAATTTTTCAACATTCGCCTTTTGTATTACATGGGTTTCATCAATCAACATAGTTTTCAGCATGTTTTAGTTATCCTCTGAAATAGATTTAATCTGAACTATTTTGTTAACAAAACTTCGAATCAAAAGATTTGTCGGACCGAAACGTTCGTGTACTTCATCATACAGTCGGTACTTATCGATCTCGATGAGTTCAGCTTGGAACTTCATTTTCAGCGATTCATTTTCTGATATCAGTTCTTGTTTATGAGTTTTTCTTGCTCTTTTCAAATTCATAAAGAGGAATCCGTGCATGAAATTTATTGAGAAAAGCTTGTCTACTGAATCATTCAGTAGTTGCACCACTTGGTGACGATACGGTGCAGGGCATTCAGACTGCTCCCTCTGTTGTTTCTGCTCTTTTCAGGATCGCTTTCTATACCACTATTTTCGATTTTGTCGACTGCTATCGCCAACCAGGAAAAGTACTAATTGTAGATTTACAAATATAACGATGTCCTGAAGACAACCCACTGGTAGTTGTTACATTGACGTTATGGTCTGGCTTATATATCACAATAACCAAACCACCTTTATACACTGGCTCCTTTCGCAATGCTTTACACCAACTCCGAGTTTATTATGAGGACATGAAGATGCGAAACGTGTTGACCACCTCCTTGCCTGTGGGGTAGTAGCAATCCCAAACAGCTTGTTGATGAGAAAACCTGTACTCGCAACCAAATTGTTCGTCTGTAGTTTACCAACCTACCTCATCTCTGGTGCCGGTGAGATATCCAACTGACCATCTCACCAAATGATGAGTAAGTAGTCCACTCTAACCTATTATAGGACTGAGACATGACAGTTGAAAGTTGAAGACTCGAATCTATCAGAGGTTTTCGAGCACAGGTGTCCTCATTCATGACTTTGCTTGGATATGGTGTTAGCTATGTGGTTGTTAATTGTAGAGCACTGGACAAGGGAGGCACTTCAGTTGTTGAAGTTGTGAAGCTTGACCGACTGAGGGTGACCTGGACATGTGTTACGCATACCGAGTTACCGCCCACCTCGATATACGATGTCAGCTGAAGGAGGAGCATGTTAGAAGAAGACTAAAAGGTGAAGAATCAGACGAAGACGTGGCACCAGTGCGTGAAGCCACTGATGGTTGATATGAGTCATGTAGATTGACTTACTGGAGGTTTTCAGTGATTTGGCTGAAAATTGGTGGGAATGGCGTAGGTGTTTGCTCTTTATCATTTTCATAGTATTGAGTATTCTGACTAACCTTCATCTGTTTATTTTCTTTCCGGTTACAAATCTTCCCCTACGTTTTTGCGCTTCATTTAAAACTTATTTCCCATGCTTGCTTGTTTAGAGTCTGGCAACTTGCACTAGATGCATTATCCTGTCAGACCCTGATTATTTAGTGTTTCTGTGTAATATGTGAAGCTATTTCATCTTTCGCTGTATTACGTCTGTGAGTTGTTTAGGTTTTCTCATCTCCGGGTTATACTTTAAAACGTTGGACATACTGAATGTCACTCACGATCATTCTTAGTGATATTTGTTTTGCTCATAGCACATATTGTGCCTTCATCTCTGAATGACGGATTAGTTATTTAAGGTGTTTTGATTTACTCCATAAACTGCTTCTTGCAGAATAAAGCGTGGAAGGATGACTATTCGCTCTTGCATCATTCAAGATTATATTTGACAAACTTCTATACAGTGGAACAGAAACAAAACCAAATCTTGGTTGAACCAAGTAGTAGGATTAGACTGGTATATTTGGTACATAAGCTTTCAACAGGCATTACTATGCAATGATTCAAGTGGATGCACCTCATTTCAGCACATCAAGCGAGAATGCGCTAAGATGGAAGATGAAGAAACATAAAAGAAAGTATTTGAAGGTGGTAGGAAGTCGTGAGAAGATAACAAAGAGGAAGGAGAAAATATTGAATCAGTAGTACTACTAAGATGCAGATAGTGTGGATACATCTAGGCCTCCGAGATTGATTCTTAGTTATGTCATCCATAGTCTTCAACCACTGTTTTCTGTTGTCACGCGGATGCCAACGGGGAAGTCTGTCTTTTCCTACATGGCTCACATCAACAGTTAAAGACTTTCTGCGATGATATCATGTTTTAGTATGATCTCCCGGTACTATTTTCCATTCTGAACCTATTTTAGTTAACATTGCGTGGCGAGGTAGATGGTGGATAGTGCATGTGTAACACCTGACACAGCTACCTGAGCCGATGAAGATTCACAACCTCATCAACTGAATTTCCTCTTCACCCTAAGATTCTGCACCTGACTTCTAAGTTACTGATGCGATAACATCATGATACACGGCCTATGGCCATTCTTCACAAACATAGAGTAGATCAGAGCAAACTGAAGTATGGGCGTTTTTGAAATAACAGCGGGACCGTAAGTGGTGTTGTATGTTGATGAAAGCTATCCGAGTCCTTTGTATCAGCGCAGATTTCGTATGTCACCGACTCATCAGCGCCGATATAACTTCACAGATAGGTGAAATTGTAAATACTCTGGATCACTTCATTGCCTATTGCTAGACGAGGGGACATTGAAGGCGTGTCTTTGAGGAACAATTTACCTTTGGGTTGCAAGAAATTCGTTTCAACCAAGATCAGGCGACGACATGGAGACCTCCATTAGTACGTCTATTATAAAGCTAAGCAATAAGGGAGAATGCCGATAGCTCTGTACATAACCCACTTGATACCGTACCTCAGGTTCCAAAACACACAATATATATAACTAAGGGAATTTTGGAGTGTACTTATTCTGCTTCCTTTCAGTGAGAGACTTGAAATACTTTCCCGAACAATGTTGAATGCTGCCTTCAAGTCAAGAAATACGCCCAGTGTCCGGCGTCAGCAAGTGTCCTGTTCGAGAACCGGAAAGATTGTGAATACCTTGCCGATATATATATCCCAGACTGAATCTGAAACCTGCCAGTTTTTCGCGTTTGCTGTTCTTGACCTCCTCTATGGCGTCTGACAGTTATTGAACGTAGAGTCTTGAACACTGTTTGTCAGGCTGATTCCCATATGGTAATCTGCTGTTTTTTGCTTAAAATCGTGGAAAGCGGGACAGATTTTTACGTTAGCAGACGTCAAATGGTTTTATATTGTACCCGATTTTTTGACTCCCCAAACGTTTCACTTTCTCAACTGTTTTTGTTGATTCTTTCTTACCACTTTTTAGTTACTAGGCTATCGAATGTAGTTCTTGTCTTGTCGTTTTTGTGAGAATGTTAATGACCTAGTTCCTTTTATTTTAGATCCAGATAAATTTGTCTTTCTTCTATGTACCAAGGCTGGTGGCCTAGGGATTAATCTAACTGCAGCAGATGTAGTGATTATCTATGATTCAGATTGGAATCCTCAAAATGATCTTCAAGCTCAAGCACGTTGTCATCGCATTGGACAACAAAAAATGGTTAAAGTTTACCGTTTGATTACTCGTAATACGTATGAACGCGAAATGTTCGACCGAGCATCGCTTAAGTTGGGTTTGGATAGAGCGGTGCTACAGTCTATGGGCAGCAAAGAGGCTAGACAGGTATGTATCAGTTCGTCTTTGTAATGTATTTGGCACAGTTTGCAACAAATAAACCTTCAGTGTCAATTTATTATTATATGTGAAAGTCGAGTCTTTTTGTGTGGGTGGCGGTTGCGCTATATCGTGAGCTAACATAAGTTGGAAATATGGGCTATTGGATTCTGACCCAGTGGCTCAATGGTAACGTGCTGGCCACAGAACCTGAAGGTCGCGGGTTCGGTCCCTGGCGGGGTCATGGGTACGCACTGCTGAGGAGTCCCATACTAGGACGAAACAGCTGTCCAGTGCTTCCAGGTTTCCTTTGTTCCTCCAACTGATGTCAGTCTACGATGAATAACAACTTGAAATATTACAAAATACACTAAAATTGGATTCAACTGCCATCTTTCTGTGCTGTGCGTTTTTGATAGACATCATTATGAAGTTATTGCACATATCAACTTATGGATCATAGTAGGAATCATCTTGCTCGCTTCACAGTTTGTTGATAAGGCTCCAGGTCTCAGTTCCCATTAGAAATATTAATGTAAGTCAACTGGGTCCATTTGTTTATACACTGAAATATGAGATTCACTTGTTATGTGAGGACCTGGTTGTCCAGGTCGAAGTATATGCAGCGAGATAAGAAAACCGATAAGTGACTGTTACTATTACAACTTATATGAAGTCTCTTGAGGAGTTTGTCTACCAGTTATGTATTGGAAGTTCAACAAATGTATTTCATACATACATAACCTAATAATTAGCAGCTATAGCGTTAAATATATATGAACCTCTTGAAGTAAGCAAAATATCAAAGCAAATAATCGGTACTACTATTACACTAGATGAAATGACCTTGCATTCTAAGTAAGTGCTGAAAGAGGGAGATAAACAAAACGTTTATCCATTCTTGAGTGTTCTATCTTTATTGCCTGTCGTTAAAAAACTGGAGTTTTCATGTTAAGTAAAGATTACGGGAGATATTAGTGAGACTGTCATTCTCAAAATGGTTATAACCCACTCTAAACGTATTTAATCTGGGAAGTTTAAGTGAGTAGTAAACAAGAATCAATAAAAAACATCTGTTTATAAAGTAATTTATATTGGTGGAAACCGGAATTATCGAAAGTATCTTCATATACTTTAGATCTCAATCTCAAAATTTTGAGTAAACTTTGTGGATCAAAGTCTATAAGCCTTTTCAAGTTTCACTGTCATGTCTTCCAAGCTTTTTTCTTTTACTTCTTTTTGAAATCTTCACTTTCTCGATATAAATTATCTCACAGACTCTTCTAAAAAGTCAACAAATGTTAATAGGTGCTAACTTTCAAATAGTAGCAATTTGGCCAAACTACGTTCATCTGACTCAGCAACTTAGTAGATTTCTTTGTACTGGGTTTGAAGCCATACTTACTATGTTGGGTTTCTTCATTATAGTCTAGTGTCCAAATAGACCATGGAACGAGGTTTAGGGCGCTATATATTTTTACTTAATAGTTACTGATACTGTATCAGATTAACTGTTACATTCATAATTTTAATCTCAAGAGGAACTGTGTATCTTGCTTATGTGCTGTGGATCTTTTTCCTTGTTTTTCTTAGGCACAGATGTCTAAAAAGGAGATTGAAGATCTTTTAAAAAAAGGAGCTTATGGAGCTTTGATGGATGACGATAAAGCTGGTGAAGATTTCTGCGAAGAGGATATTGATCAAATACTTCAATCACGAGCTCGTGTTGTTCAGCTGGAACAAGGGAAAGAAAATTCTACATTTTCTAAGGTAAGGCTTTTCGAATATATACAGAAACATGTATATTGTTATTTGTATCAGTGATTTATGTGTTTGATACTTGTATTATGTGCATTGTATCGTATCTATGATGCTTTAAATTTTAAGTTAATGATAATAATGATAATGATAATCGCTTTATTCCAGACAGCATGAATGAAATAGAATTTTCAGCATGGAATATTTTAACAAATTCGCTTTCCGTACAATATTTTTAAAAGATGAAATTATTACATCTGCCTAGTGTTATTAACAACAGTATTTAAGGCATAAATGTGAAACAGGCAGCTAGTGATACATTAGCATCTGTTCTCGATTCGGAAATTAACACAAAATCAAGTGTAATTTTGGTGACAGAAGTTTAGTCAGCCAGTACAAAAACCTATTTTAACCAGAGAAATGACTGAAATGGTAGACAGAACAGTTTGATTGAACACTTCCAGCTACTCTCCGATAGCTCACTATCCAGTTGCAGCCTACTTGAGACATGGACGTTAGATTTTTAGAGTACATAAATTGAAATGGTTTTAAGAAACCGGAAACTAAAATAGGTGATAAACAAAATTATACGATTGCTATTTGTCCACAATTATCAACATTAATAAACTCCACTGGAAATGCTTAAAAATGGTGACACAGGAATATTTAGTTGATGTGAATTATGGATTTCCACTTTCTACCTTTGTTTAATTTTGACATAAGTGTCTCTATGCAGTTGCATCGTTTTTACAGTTTCAAGGGAATTTCTGTCCTTAAGATTTGGTAATTTGAATAAGCCTGCTAATGATATATAGACCTGTTATTTGAAGATGCTAACAAATTGTCGAGTTTTCTGAACTCCTCTGGGGACAATGTGAGAATTTTGCAGATACGGCTCTTACCTCTCATGTCTAAATGGCCGCTCCATTTTGGATTCGCATTGATTCAGTGCTTGGCTATTAAAATTTTTTTTTAGTTGGACATTTCATTTAGGTGAAAAGTGACATAAGCCTTGGATGATGAAATCCGGACTCTGCTACGAATAACGCCTTCAAATTTCTCTTACCGACATCACTTGTATCATTGGCATACTATCGGATAATATATTTTAAAACTGAGTCTACCATGTGGATGTTAAACATGACCTTGCAAAGGCGGAGAATTTTGTCATCAGAAGTAATTTACCTCTTTTGTCCTTCATCTCTTATGCGCGCAGTATCAATTCGCCACTCAGATACGGGAGTTTAAACACACATGATTAATCACTTCTTCATGCTATATATTGTCATTGACTAACTTAATTGTGGCACATGCTTCATTAGTGCCTAAAGGCTCTTTACTTCAAAACAATGTTGATAGTAGTAAGAATAGGGTGATAGGAACCTCACGATGATATCAAAATCCAAGGTCTTACAGGTCATGTTAACCAAGTACAGAAGTGTAAACTTCTGTTTTCAGACTTTTTTAGGCGACTGCAGTAATAAATGCATCTACTCATTACTTTATTCTATGATGAGAATTTCATTATTTGAATGGATCTGTCTATCGTATGTGTGAACTGTATTTTACCGTTAGATGTTGAGAGTCAGTAGGAAAAACAAAGGTGCTTGACTCTGCTGCTTTTTTTCTTCATTGTAAGGTGTGACAATTTTAACTGTCATGTACAGCACACCATTCGTCTACAAGCCGGTTAAAACATTGGTTTCAAAATATATTCTATCTTAAGTTTACATGTTTTTTCAACTTCTAACAATTACTCAGTAGACAACTGTAAGACTACCTCTCTAATGCATATTGCATAATATTTCTCCCTCTTACCACTTTTTTCTAGGCGACATTTTCTATGTCAGATAACAGAAGTGATATTGCATTGGACGATCCTAACTTCTGGCAAAAATGGGCCAAAAAGGCTGGCGTGGATGAGACAGCATTAGCCATGAAAGTAAGTCATCCAGGCATAGGTATATGTCGTTATGAACTAAGTTTATTCATTCTGTCAAAGAATGTGATGGCTTACAGTTAAGAAATGTTTTAGAAATACAGTAATTTTCCAACGAAATAACTGATTCAACCATGTGTTATTCTACTTAGAAGTTTTAAGTATGTAGTGTTAACAACCAGTATTTACTTACTGTTTGTTTTGCATTATTACCTCCAGGATCTGATAGTCCAAACTCCACGTCAGCGTCGTCAAACTAGCCGTTATTCATCAATGGTCGTCAATGAACCACCTAATATTCCAAGTCCAGCAAGCTTTAACATGTCCGACTTTGAAGACAATGCGAATTCAAACAGCTCTGGTGATGAAACCGTTATTCAATCTTCATCAGGTAGATGTCGCTCTCGTCGTAATCGAAAAAATGCTCGACTTTCGCGAAAGTCACAGAATACAGTCGTCAAGCAAGATAAGTTGCTTGTTGTAAAGGAGTGTGATGCAAATGCAGGAAATGACCTAAATTTGATAGAACCACTTGATCGAGCTGATTTATTTCGAGTAGAGCGTTGCTTGCTACATGGTCCTGGGGTCAATGGGAACAAGCTGTTTCAGCTGTTTCTTTCAAACGAAGTATGCAACCGTCTGATCTAGCCTATTTTTCTTGTGCTCTATTGGACTACATCCTGCGTTGTCTACCATCAAACTCAGATATTCGTACACGTGCCATATGTGAAACTCTCGCTCGTCCTGGTACCTGGAAACTTGACATTCATCAGGTCAACATTGCTGTATCAGAAGCCTCTGCTAAAATTAAGTGCATACCACCGTCTGTACCTGTTAACATGGAAAGTGAGAATTTTGATGGTCAAGCACCAATTCTTGATCAAAACATTAATGAATTGTCCGAAGTGAAGAAGAATGATGATGCTGTCCTGCTTTCAGATGCAGTAATTGACGTCAAAAGTTGTATAGACTCTCCTGTTCCCAGCGAATATAATGCAACGGGAAGTCCAGTATCGGTTGTTACTGCTCCAACTGATGCATCAAATACTTCAGTAACAAAGTTAGCATCAGCCGATACAGAGAATATACATAATAAGATTGAATCCATACCCGATATGCCATCAGAACCGCTTGAAGTAATTGGAAAGGATGATATTCTTGACAAAGATGAAGATGATGTCGATGAAGAGACACACGTCAAGACAGAAGAAACTCAAATGTCTCCCAGACGTAAGTTTTCTTTTGGCAAACATGTAATTCGGATAAATTTGTGCCATTTTCATTGATTCTTTCTTTCCAAAGTATCATTTGTATAAAGTTCTGCTATGAATAGTGCTTTCACACGGTTTTAGAACAGTTCAGTGCTCTTGCATGCGAATGTAGTATTACTGTTTCACATTAAAAAGTATGTGTTTAGGTCAAAGCCTTGTTCAACTATTGTTTAAGTCTGTAAATATTTTCATCAGTAAGTGTATCAGTTCACATCATTACTTCCCATCATTACTATTAATCAAACAATAATGTCCTTGCTTTTTGGTATACTTGTTTTTAAAGTTGCCGCCTTCAAACCTGAACTTCTTCAACCGAATGAGAGCTTCAAGAAACACGTTCAAAGGGCTGGTGCCCGACTTTTGAATCGTGTTGCTCTTCTTTTCTTTCTACAGTGTGAGATAATTGGCATAAAATCTGCTCAAGACTTGATAGCATCTCGTTTGAGCCATACTGACTTCCCTGAATTGGCTTTGAGTTTACCTCCATTGGAAGGTAGGTTACTAACAATTCATTTTCTTTTTAGCCTGATGTTGGTAGTGAAATTTTATTGTTTGTAATTGCCACTTAAATTTTGCAATCATTTACTTTCTCCCCTTAATTTACTCGGTTATTTTTTTAACTAGATTATATGAGTAAAGACGCATAAGAAATTCAGCTTTCGAGTGTAACTTAGTGGTTGCTTACAGGTTCGTGAACCATCAAATAAATCACTTCTTTTCTGTGGATGTTTATTTAACTACGCGTTTACCCAAACCTTGAAAGATTAAACGAGGTTCAAACCTAGTCGTAAGTCGAATATATAGACCAATGAGCCACAGATTTTGACCAGTAAATAATGCTATCTCACTGCTTGATTTATTTAACAAACGAATTAGACTGCAATTATACTCTACCATGATAGTTTAGCTCATTTAAAGTGGTTATACACACTCCTTGTTTACTTCTTGCTTCAGCAAGCTTGTTGGTTAGTTCTAGGCACTTGCCTCGCAACCAGTGAATCACGCTGCTCCACTTACCGACGTTTGACAAGCCAAATATGTGTTTCTCACTGACTTCAGCACTTAGGTGCGTGTGGTTACTGAGTTCCATTTCGATATTTTACGATACATAAGTGGCTGTAATTTTCACTGATTAGTTCTTAAAACCGCAATAGGCCACTGTCCCTAAATTTTCATGTTGACGTACTGCGGTTTTTTAGTGAACATAGTTTAAATTCTGTATACTTTTAGTGATATTTTTCCTTATTAAGAATGATTCGTAGCGAAATGAATCTCCACTGATCCGGTCAAGCATTTATTACTACTACTTTGATCTTATCAATATCATTCTCTTTGGAAAAACATATATGATTGACAAATCCTCTTACTCACTATCATTATGTTTTTCAATGAATAATTGGTAAGTAAAGCTCAAAAGTAATTTGTCTGTATTATACACACATTTCTCCTGTGATAGCTTTTCACGTAGGTGGATAGTGGTGTTAACGATCGATACAGTCATCTTACGTATGTAATGACATCGATGGTAACTGGTGTTGTGTCAAAATAACTTGTTTTTTTTCTTCAGAATGCTCTCCAGCTTACTTTAAGTTTATTGTCTTCAACGGTATACACGTGCTTTTGTAAGCACGTCTAGTGGTGCATACTCTTCTAATTTAGTAGACGATATTCCAATGTTTTCGAACTTCATTGTCACTAATTTACTGATTGAATTCATGTAGTCGTTTACTATTATGTTGCCCCTGAATACTTAACGATGCTTAGTTGAGCTACTAGTATCATTCTTCACGAAATTGTTTCACATCATTGGTTATCATCATTTTTTCCCATATTTTCATTATTTTGCTATTATGATCAACAGTTTCGTTTGCAGTTTTCATCAAGTTGTTATTGTGACTAATGTTTGATTACTTCCTTTCTAAGTATATCGTATCTGTTTCATCGTTTGTGTTTTCTATCCACGCAGTGCTCGATTCAGATTTGCCCGCTCTATGGTGGGATAAATGCTGTGATAAATGTTTGCTGTTAGGCATCATGAAACATGGGTGGGAAAAGTACACAGCAATGCGTTTAGATCCTAAACTCTGTTTCCGCCTTCGTGCCATTGAAGTAATTCAATCTCAGTGTTCAAACATACCGAATGTTTCGAATGAGTAAGTTTTTTTAAGTTTCATATTTCATGATCTCCCACATATTCCTTATTTATTCAAGCGAATTCCATGTGATTAGAATTCAATTGATCATTGTGAAGTGACCAGCATCCTATTATGTTTATGCTACCCCATTCAGAGAAAAGCTAGATCATATCAAAAGTAATAAATCTTCATTTTTCAAACTTTTTTCTTGTATTTTGGGTCATCTTGGTGATTTTCTGAAATTCCATGCTGACCTAATCACGCTCACTACGAATTACTGTGTTAATCACTTGTTTTAACTGTTACTTTCAACTTTTGATATCATGATTTCAGTCATCTTCAGGAAAATAAAGAAGTGACCGAAAGTTCGGAGGATAATCCGGAGATTAAAATAGTGGACTGTACTCGGAAGAAGAATACTGATGAATGCGAATTGGAAGACATTCAGTCTGTCGCCAAATCTACTTCACTTCCTCCTGAAACTTCCGCACAGAATACTGGAACAACTGTGAATGAAGTAGAAAGTTCAAGTGTGGAGGATGATAATTCAGCTAGCTTTTCGAACAATATTTGTGAACCGCTCAAAAAAGATGCATCATCTGTTCTTGATGTTGGCAGTGTTTCAGATGATGTTCTACTGAGTCTTCCTTTCCCACAAGTCGCAGATTTAAATTCTCGAGCTAGGAAGCTGGTGGGTTATTTCCAACGGATCAAAAATCAACTTGGGTCTGACGCCTCTCGAGTTAGTCCAGAATTTTTTTTCACTTGGGTAAATAAACTCCTAGGCAATAATAATAATTATTATTTCTAAACGACTTTACAATGTATGTGACAGGATTCCAACTCTACCACGAAGCATATATGTGAAAGTACAGCCTGCTTTACACGTGAAACAAATTTGACTTATAACAGTCTTATTAAGTCGTTGAAGTCTTATCGTTTCAGACGGAAACTATTAATGTAAGTATATTGACCAGTATTTGTAGCCTTTATAAATCATGCACCGCTTCAGGGTTATAGACTTAATTTACAGTAACGCATGAGCTCTGATTGTTGATGTTTGTCACAAATACTAGGTATAGAAATTGCCTTATTGTGTAGAGTATTTTATACTCTAAAGTGGAAGTTTTTATCATGAAGCTTTCATTTTCCTTCAAGACAGCAAAAACGGTATAAAACTTGAAAAATGTTCTCTTCTTAGTCAGTTTTCATATACAACACCCACTGAAAAATAGTTATTCGAGCTGTGTAAAAGCTTGATTGATTCACTGCAACATTCTTGTAAGTGTCTTTATATCTTACACTTTTTACTAAATTAACTGTAACTAGAAACTGTATCAAATAGAAGATACTATTTGCGTATAATTAATTATTAGAGCCCATACTTTTCCACCAGTTGACCATTGTTTATTCACTGTTGCACCAGAAACGATTCGATCTGTAATCTGTTTCAGTTTACTTAGTGAATTCGCTTCAAGTAACGTGAAGTAGTAGCAAAGTAGTTTTTAAATAGCTTTTCCATTTATACTCCACTTCCAGTTAGTTGTATGTGTATGCGTTTCAATATAATCAAGAGTTCACTGTCTTGCTTAACAACTTTCAAGTAATTTATTAAGTTGTCGTTCCTGTAGTAAATAATGGCATACCACGATGATTCATACTGAAACTCGGTTATCACAGTTCTATTAAGATTGTGTAACTAGCACCGATGGCTAATATTACCATTATATCTTCAAAACATCTCCGAAGCCTGTAGGTACTGTAAATTACTGAGATTCGGTAAAAAGAAGTTGACAAGAGTTCGGACCTTACATAAAAGTTAGTGTATTTGGATGAACAATTGTCCATTCATATAGTTACGGACAATGTCAGACTCCCAGGACATTAGAGAAAAGTAACCAAAGTTATTACTTTATACTATAGACTGATATAATTTTAAACAAGCATTTTCATTCGAGACTCGCTCAAATTTTTTAATCGTTGTATGTACTGAGGATTTAAAAACCCATTTATGAACATAGCGACTTATGATGGTGTTAACGTTTTGGAGTTGGAAAATATCCCAGTGGTGAGCAGTTTGAAGCGTATCGTACAGTTCGTTAGTCATTCTGAAATTGCTCGATAATTCCTGGAGTTAAGGACCAGGAATATTTGAGTTATCTACCCGCACGAGGGTTAAATGAAAGGGTCAAGTGAAACATTCCAATGAACTTGTGTGTCATCCTTCAATCACAAATTGAGTGTAGTAGCATTCAAAATCAAAGCCCGACGTGACAGTGAAAATATCTCCATTGGCTGATTCCTCATGTTCTCATCATTATCCTTTTACACCAACTTTGTAATTGTTTAACTTGATAAGACGCTTAATCTCCCTTGCTTCATCACCAGGTGTATCATTTGTTGCAATACTTTTCAGTGTTTACCTAAAGTTGACGTGGAAGAGGCCGTAACATGTCTTCCTTTTACTCGGTTGGCAGAAGCGAAAGTTCTGTAAGTAATTTTAACCCATTCGTAGTGTCCTTTATTTTCATTACCCTACTGTTCAGTATATGATGCTAAATTTAAAAGTTACTATCTTGTAACTTTTGTGATACACGTAAACTACAAATGACCGCTCATCCTACCGCTATATGAGTTTCAAGTCCAAGTTGTGAATTACTGTTGAATCGTTGGGCATTTCTCATATACCTCAGGTTGACTCATGTATGCAAATACCGGAGTTTACAATTTGTTTTATTCATAACTCTGAACATATAACCGCCTTTTATATTTATTGAAGAATGTTTTATCTTCCACTGTGATGGAGAATAGGTTGTTTTGTAGCTCCTATTTGCTGATCTGAATTTATCATTCTCAGACTGCACAGTACGCCCAGATAAAACTTAAATCACCTTACCTTTACTGGGTTGTTACCCCTGCTTGATAGTAAATTGGCTACAAATACACAATTGATGTTATATTGCAAATATCGCATTGCAACCTTGTGTGTGAGGTAGGTGTACACCGATTAAAGTTAGCTGTTTGAAAACTTTATATATGTTTTTAGCTGATTACTACCAAGAAATTATGGTAGCATATGATATACGAAATGTCCGGGTCATCTGAAGCATTTCTTTAAACCATACTTCGTTTATCAAACTCTCTTATGTACTGCAAAGAAAGTATCTCGTGATTTTCTGACTGAAAGTTATGAAGTCAACTATGAAAGATTAAAATCAGATCAGTAGATAATTAAAAGTGTATGAATTGTATTGACAGTTCATAACTTTTTATACTATCACGTTTCTATACTATAAGACTGTCAGCAACATTTATCGGTATTCATACTGCTTTATTTATAACTCAGTCAGTGGTAATCAACGTGCAATTTGGCGTACTTGCGTAACAAAAAGTGTCGCCATACCTCATATCAGCACACCAGTGTATGAGGCAAAGAGATGAAAGATTTAGAAATAGGGAGGGTAGTAGTCAAAAGTGTTAGGAAGTCGTGAAAAAAGAACAAGAAGATATAAAACAATAAAGGAAATAGATAGTATAGTTAAGATGTATATAATATGTGGATGCATTCACGCTACTGAGGTCGATTTCAAGCCATGTCACCTAGCGTAACCAACCACCGATTTTGGTTGTCACCCAGATCTTAACTGATAAATCTACATTCCTCTACACGGCTCACCAACAGACTTTAGGGACTGATACCATGACTTAGTCTGGCAACCCCTCACCTTTTCCCAGCCTAAGCTAACTACAGCTAACATTGAGCCACGAGGTAAGCGGTGACTGAGCATGTGCAACACATGTCCCAGTCATTTGAGTTGATGAAGATTCACAACTTCATCAACTGACTTTCCTCTCCTCCCTAAAACTGTACACCTGGCGTCTAAGTTTCTAACTTGATGATCGCATGACACACAGGCCGAGCTATATGGAAGTAGTAGTGGTTGAAGACTTGAAGCCTTCTCATGCCCTCCACCTTTAATGACCATTTTTCACAGTTATTGACCGACTAGGTTTGATTTGACTTCACAAGTAAGTGAATTGTTCAACTCACTGAACCACTTCACTCCGTATTATTCGACAAAGCACCAGTGAAAACCAGACTTGGAGCACCATTCTGCATTTGGTGGGTTAAAAATGTTTTTTAACCACTCAGATTGCTACCCAAGATGTCCAGTAGACTATGTCATCTGCATACTGTAGGTCTGTTAAGGAGATCAATTACTATAAGGGTGGACGACAAGAGAAAGTTGAATAACAATGAATATCTCTGACAGACGCCACTCGACGTACATAATCCACCTGATGCCGTACTGTAGGTTGTAAAACATACGGGAATCCGAATAAGGATCGTTCAAAAAGGTGAATTACGTACTTGGCACCTCTTCCAATGAGAAACACTTATGAGATTTGATCAATCGGCGTAGTTGAATGCCACTTTCGCGTCCAGAAATACAATAAGTTAAGGGCATCTGTAAGCATACTTGTGTTTCAGAATTTAACTCCAGGTGGGTATCTGATTGAGACTTCCACGACCAGGATTAAAATCGGTTTATTTTTCATAGGTCTGCTATTTCGTTGCTTCACTTTGGTGTCTTGTTACTAAAAAACTTGAAAGTTTTGATTCAGTACTTCGTGCTTGTCATTTTGCTGGAAGCCTGCTAAAATTTCTTCACATACATCCGTTAATACTCAAGCAGCTGTTGTAATCCTCTGGACGTTTTATTCCTCTATCTAAAAGTCATATACGACCCAGTATTTTGCATCAGACTGTATATGATGCTTTGCGTTTTTCCGATCATTGTCTAGCCAGCTCTTCGTTTACAGTAACCTTTGGGCGCTAATAATCAAGTTACATTCAGGATGGTCTTTTAGCTGTATTATTTGTACATCCATTTAATTATTGGCGTAGTTACCGGTAGCTGACACTTCCCATATATATATCTTGACCTGAAAGTGACATTTGGCTCTGTCGACCTTAAGGTGTGGTGGCAGTGTCTGACTGAAGGTAGTACCGAACAGACCTGTAACACTAATAAAAGCTATACTTGAACTCTCGAAGTTGCGATTCGTGGAGATTTGCCACCTAGATTGACCACAGTCAACGATGCTTCTGTAACCGTTCCCGTTCAGCTTCGTTTTAGATGTAATAATGAGCATAGCTGTAGGTACCTCTGATTTACCAGGGGTCCAATTGATCTCTGGAGGCCATCTGGTTGATTTTGAGCACACAGACGACATTGTCCTGCTGGGTAAATACATTGACAAAATGCAGCGTTTTGTGAACTCCTTGAGAAGATATCTGAGTATATATTAACATGCGTCGCACATCCGCCAAATGTCAGATGACACTCCACGACTCGTCTGCTGCAACTACTCCCAGTCGTCTAATGATAAGGAGTAAAGTGGCGTCGACCACTCCACTCCACTTACTTGAAGAGTTACATCAGCCCGGACAGACTTGTTTCTAACGAAGAAATCTCAACTCGGATATAGAAGGCCCGTTCGGCATCTCCCAACTCGTGACATCTGTGATGCCTGCTAGTGAGATATCCGACTACCTGTTGAACGACCATTTCACTGAGCTACAGTTCGTTCTATCCTGTTATATGGCTGTGTGACATGACCGTGAAAGCAGAAGGGATGAAGACATAACAGGTTTTTGACCATAGGCGCGCGCTGAAACATCGCCCACATCAACGTTGAATGATAGGATTCGGGCTGCGGGTGGTCACACCAAAGCATGTCACCAGTACATGAAGTCTTTGACTATTGATGTCGATCGTGTACGTAGGTGTAAAGTACCTGACTGCTGTCCTCGATACGACATGATCAGTGTTTGAGGACTCTTTATGACATCTCTGCAAATCAGTATTCACTCTTTAACGTTTTCTGAAGCTTGAATATTTTCACTAACCTTTATCAAATTGTTTCTCTGCCTACACACTTTTTTCCACTGTGATATTTTTTTCCATTCACTTGTTCTTTGTATGCTACTGTGGAGTGTGGCGACTTGATCCCATGGGCGTCTGTGCCAAGTTCTCCATCGCTTTCGTGCATCTGTCTTAACATTCACAGACGAACGCTTGAACCAACGCCTGATCACGTCCCAAACATTTGCTCCAGAAGGGGCAGCAATCTTCCACCGACCCTCTCCTGCGATAACTGTTGGCAATATGGTATGTGCCCACAAATGACGCTACGTCATACAATGTCTCTGTGTCTGAAGTTTTGTCAGCCATAGATAGTAGGTAATTATTCGAGTTCGATTGGTCGCCGTTATTTGTTCGTTTTTTCGAAATTCCGAAAGTCCCATGCAAGCACGTTTCCGTCTATCTTCGCCTACACACTTGTACTTTAAACTCACCTACTGCATAAGCCACACTAATGTTTGGCTTCCAGTAGAGGACTAGACAGTTTTCAGCGTAACTCATCTTTCGCTTCATGCGGATTGCAATCAGTGGAGATCTAAGCTGAAATAAAAAAGAGATGATGGTGAGTTTCACTGTTCTTTTCATCCCTCACTACACCGTTAAATCGAACAGTGCGCAATCAGTTCTCATCTGGAATCTATTCGAGCAGCGCACTTTCTGTCGTAGGAATTAGCGGTATTTTTGCACCTGCGAAACCATGAAAACCAGCCATTGAATCTCGGAAACTCGAAGAGTAAGTTCTCTTGATATTACTGCATTTGCCGGTTGAGGTTAAGCAAATAAATGTTCTTGAGTATTGCATGTGTACCTTTCTCCCTATCACACACACACACAGGACACGTTTATGATCCAAAATGGCTATTGAGGTTGTTGGTTGAGCTGACGTAGAGTGCGGGGAACTTTGAAAGCTCCGATGTGAATTTTGAAGTGCAGTATTAGGAAACTCTGAATTCTTTTTGTGAGCTTGAACTTTAAGTTGTTCAGAATGACGTAAGAATATCGACTGAGAGATGTAAAGAAAGATTCGATGGCAGAGATTTTGAAGGTTAGTTGTGATCTGAAATAAATTGAATGCTGACAGAGATGTTGGGGTGATTGACTGTTCTTGGCTCTATCCAGCGTGAAAGGTCACTTCTTCCAGAGGTATTTGTAGATGTAACCGTATATGCTATGGTGGTGCGTGATAACCGTCAGGAACCGATAATGTATAGCTTTTGTGTAATTTTGATGTTTAGCTTTGATTTATATATATCTGGCTAGAATAGCCATACCTCTGGTAGGGAGTTATGACAAGTCAGGAGTGAGCTATTACTGGAGTAGACCTTTTCTAACCTCCTTCCTTCTTATCAGGAAGGTGCCATCAGCACGGTACTGGTGGTGATTATCCCCGGGAAACATTTTACTGTTGTCACACTGACCCGACTGTATGACTTCGCTTTTGTACCCCTATCATTGCTTAGTAATTGACACCATAATAGTAACTGCTTTTCTTTTACCACTATCCCATAGACCTTTCCGGTATGGGAACGAGTCGTTTTATTTTGATGAGGTGCAGGTCTGATCATCACTTCAAAGTTGTAGCTTTCTGTTGGGTCTATATTATTGATGTGAATTTGTTATTAGTGTTTAATTCTTAATAAGAATTGCAATGACTTCAGGGTTAAATTGATCGACAGAGATGTATTATGATACAACTGTTCAGTTTATCGATTTTAGCATTCTCTTTCACAAGCTTGACAGAATAACGAAGAAACCTACTGAGCCCTTTGTCTATCACTGGGTCCTTGTAATCCTTTAACTGACGAAATATACCTATTTATTCATGAAATCTTCGTCTTCTTATTCATGAATAGATGGGTATATTTCATCAGAGGTGTATTAATTTAACCAAATACAAATTAAAATTGGTTTAGGCTCCAGTAAAATTGAGACTGGGAAAATTTCTACTTTACCTGTGCTTGCAATCATACTAGGATAGTGGAAGGAGACAGTGATAACTTATTGTTTCTTGGATCGATACCAGTCTTATAAAGTACAGTAAAATTTCTAAAGCGAAATTCTAAATATCAATAATAGCTATACAGATACTATCAGTTATTCTACAAGAAGGTGGATTTATTGCAATAGTAGCATTGGTGACATCATCGACTCATTTTGCCTAAACGATCGATGAAAAGAGAAAATAACAGTTACTTTGGGACCTCTTTGAAGTAGAAGAATAAGCTCATGTATACTAATTTCTTTTTTGTTTCAATTTAGACTATTCTATAGTGTTAAAACTAGGTTTTGATTCCTGTGGGTTTTTTTTGTAAGTGTTTATTTGATTGATTGTTTGCAAAGTTATTGATTTCTTTTACATAACAACACTTTAGAAAATGGACACGTCGAGAAGAAGCGGATTTCTATCGTGTAGTATCAAGCTTTGGTGTGGAATTCACTGAAATAACACCTGATACTGCGTCTAATGTTGATGGAAACGGTGACGGTGACCAACAAGACGAAAAACCTAACCTAGTAATTGATGTCGACAATACAGAACGAAGCTCCACAAGTCACTGCCAAGGAAATACAACTGGATTAATTTTAGACAACTTGCTAACCTAAGTCGAAAATCTGACCAAGCTCTTGTAGAATACTTTCAATCATTTTATCGAATGTGTCAACGTGTTTGCAAAAAGGAGCTTACTGGTGAGTTTTTTTTCCACTCAAATAGCAGCACAACTCATCGACCTTGTATCAGACAATCAGTTGATAATAGTGTTTGGCTATTTGTCTTTACGTTATCTTTCACCACTTTTCTGTCAAATAATATAACAATCTGAAAACACCCAGTGGGTGTATCGGATTTGAATTTTGTTCAAGTAATCTGCTTATAATCAAGATTAGAATGTGTTTATTACTCTTTGTATTCCACTAGACATTTAATTTCGGGTTCTCATAGATCTTTGATTACTTTTTTCGCTTGAAAACTCTATACTGTTTTAATTGAAAGCGAATAAGTATCTCATCCTTGTAGCAAAGAGTCAAGTGGTAGGTTTATTTTATGTAATCACCTAATGACATTTTGTTGCAAGTTATTATACCAAGTAAACATAATCAACATTTCACAGCTATTTCATGGAAATTATTTGAAGTGATTGGTTTTATACTCCTTAAAAAATCGTAATAATGCATCAGTAAGTTGTTTCAGCATACCAGCATTCTTGTTTTAATTATTTCTAAGTGCTAATCAGTTCAGTTTATTCCAAAAATTGTTACACTGTTTTCAGTTTTTGTTATTGATTTCTGTAGTTATCTGCAGGTTATTTTTATGAAAGTTAACTAGTTAATCTTATTTTCAAACTTGTATATAGTATTCGCAGAGCCTGCCTCCACATTTGCAACTACTACTACTTCGGGATCGAGTGATTTAGGCTGTGAAATTATAATTGATCCTATTTCTGAAGAACGTGCTAGTCGTTGCCTATCGCGTATTGATCTGTTGGCTCGTATACGAAATCATATTTTACAGCATCCTCATCTGGAAGAAAGACTTAAATTGTGCCAGTCTAGTTCAGATCTTCCAGTTTGGTGGATACCTGGAAAGCATGACAGAGAATTGTTATTCGCAGCAGCAAAGTAAGTTTAAAGCTCTAGATAAACATATAGTGAAACCTTTCAGTTAAATACTGAACGTAGGGTTATTCTCCCCAAGAATTAAGGCAAGTGACTTTGGTTATTTCCTGAGAATTTCGAGAGGAATAATTATCGGTTTCATGATACTCTTTTCAATCTACATATGTGTAATCCGAGCACTGCAATTGAACTCTGGATGATTTATGAGAAACCTATAAATTCAAATATATTTATCGTCAGCTAGGGGATTATTGACAATCAAGGCAAAACCTTCAACAGCTTCATCCTGTTTGAAATATCTCAACTTTACGCACCAAAGTAGGCTTGAAACCACAGTCTTACAGTGGCTTTAAAGGCCACCCTAACAACTTATTGGAGAACCAATTGCATTTCTTTATTTTGTGCGAAACTACTGTCCGAACCGAAATACTGAAGCCTGATTGGTTATTTCAAAAGTTGCTGGCATGGCTTTTACCTTCCAGTTACTGAGTTGTTTGGATTTCAGTTATTTGCATCTACAGGAATTCAGTCACTTCTCACTATAGCGCTGTCTTTATCCAGTTTTATCTGCATACATCAGTACTCTTGTGAATTGCTCTACTAGTCATACCGTCGCTTCTTGTTTAAATTCCGTAAATTCAAGTGGGAACACTGAATAATTATGTGACTAGGTGATTTATAAGAAACTGATTGGTTTGAAAATACTTTCCATCACTAGCTGACATCACTTGGGAAAGTATTGAAAGCAGAAAAACAGTGGATAGCTTGCTCTATAGTATTATTATAATTGGTGTGTTGAAATATGGCTCAATGGTTTAAGCACCTTCTTATCAAATAGGCTTCGAGTATACACCCAAGTCTAACCACTTCTGGTTAGATAATTGAGTAATACCGTAAGCCCTTACGCAATAAATATAGCTCATAGCACGAGGCATAGTTTTTCCATCTTTTTATTATGAGCTGATAACAATTAAAATTGAGCGATGGCATCCAAAGCTGTCTGTTGATTTCCTTGTCAGCCCATATATGAAACCTTGTTTTTTTTTACAAGATTTCACCTTCACTGTCTTATATCATTAGGAGGAACTCATTAAAAACAATCTTCTTTGGAAATTTGCAGTTCATAGATTTTGTTCAGATGCCCTATAGCGTCACGATAACCAATAAATCAAAGCTAATGAATATACCATAAGGTATCCGGGCATGTTTTAACTGCAGCTGTTTTTATATTATAGGTATGGATTAGCTCGTACTGACCTTAATTTCCTTCAAGATTCCGACTCCAGTTTCTCACGGATTGTCCACTTGATTCGTGAGAAGTTAACTCATGATCCAGCTGTCACAGACTATCCTGGAGATCTAAGCGCTAGTCCGGCAAATCGATACAGCATAGCTGCAGCTGCTGCTTCAGCAGCTCGTGCAGCTGCAGTTCAATTGGTGAACGAAAAAACTACTTGCCCAACTGATCCACCTGCATGTGACACAGGTGTGAGTAAGTCTGATACAGAAGACAATCTGGACTCCAAGAAATCGGAAATTCAGTCATCAGCAATTTCATTGAATTGTCAGGAATCTGGTAGTGTTAAAACGGATAATGAACTAACCTCTGTAACATTCGAACCTATTGGTTCACATGATGTAGTAACAACCCCATCTGATTTTACTGCTGCTAGCAATGAAAACGATGCACCATTGAATACCAATGGTTTGACTCTGATGATGGATAAAAGTGATATCAATGCAACTACCAGCAAAGAGGACCACTCAGGTATTTTACTTCTTTCTACTTATTTCATTTAATGCATCTATTACAGCTGTCTGATCACTAATTTCATACTGAATGTAGTCATTTGTATGATGATATTGAATTGAGGTATTCGAACAGTAGTATGATCTCAGCAATAAAGTTTATAACTTCGGTGAATGAGATTGTACTATGCATTTTATAGACTGTAAACTTATTTGGAATTTTAGAGTTTACTAACTAAATCGAACATATGTCCATGCTGTTTCCCTTTTAAAATAGTCGTCTATGTGTTTAGGTTTTTATTGCTATTCTTCGGGTGTTCGCTTAAATATATGTCATCGAAATTTATTTCATTCTTACTTAGACTATATATGCAAAACATTGAAGGATAGATACCGCCTAATCTTCATAAAGAAATCTCAGCACCATGACTTCTTAGAGTGCTACAACCATTCGGTTAGTCTTTATCAATCTTTGTAGTTTAATAACAAAACTCTAAGAATGACAATATAGCATCTGATGGATAATAGATGACATACTACTAAATTATTCAGATATATGTGAACCAATTTATGTATATTTCGGGCTTAGAAACGTGTTAGTTGGCCCTTGTGAAATATAACTATAATATTTAGGTAAAGATGTATATAACGAATTGCACCACATTGGCATGCTGTAGATGGTGTTTTAAAACTGATGTTAGTACTTGATTATCTCTTCATGTTTTCTAATCACAATTTAGATTCTTACATGATATGTACTATTGAAAAACATCTATGGAAAGCGTGAACATAGAAGTAGAACTTGAACTTTGTGGCACCAGTTTAATTCTACATTAGACTAGTTTGTTTGATAACATAATGTGATAAAGTATTATTATCCAGATGAGATTTCTAGCATAATTGATTGTTCATAATCATATCAAAGTGTTGTGATAATGAGTAATAATTTGTGCTCAAGGCGTCATCAAGTAGATAATACTGCGTCACTGTGATATATATCAAATTAACTAATCTCATATGGAAGCATAAAAAGGTTAACATAATATGGTTAAGTATTCTTTTATTTTACGAAGATCAGGTCAGTGTGCAACTGGTCTTGCCAGATCACTTATTTTGAGCAATATTTTTCGGCAATACAAGCAAGAACTAAGTTTAATAACATTCATACTTCCTGGTAATTAGACTCTCTTATTGATTAACGATTTATTACTCCTAATATTTATTAGAATGAAATCTTATCAAAAAAAGGTTGTGCAGTAGTGAATTCACTAGGCTACTTACTTGTGTTTACACAATAAACACTGTGAAGTAAGTATCGTCACAAGTGTTACGATATCGATATACTTCAAAATAGATTCTTCATCTTCAGTAATTTACCTTCTTCGATACAAGATGGTGATTCTCATTGTTGCCACTATTAAATTAACTACAACTAAACAAACCGCACTGTGCGAACTGGTTTACGCGATGTATTAGAATTTCAAAATACAACATTACCTATTCCTGTTATCACATTGCTACAAGTATTTATCGAAAATTAACAAAATATACCTTATGCAACTTTAATGTTTTAAGATTTGTCTTTTATTGCTGTGGACTGCATAGATGTGAAAGTTGGACAGGAGTCGACTGCAGCTGAATGGTCTATCAAATTCGCTACTAACTTGGCTATCTCCTGGCCTAAAGACAGAACTGTTCAGCATCGATTAGAGCTTATTTGTCATACAGTTGAAGTAAGAAACTATGCTCTAATATTTTTGGCTTACTTTATGTTTTTTTAATCATGAACCAAATTGTATGTTACATCAATTTGCTCACTGTCTTTGTGAATGGTTTCTGACTCATTTTGTCACAGCAGTTCAACATTAGCTTACTTTACTTTTGAAATACGAATCGCTGCTACCTGGATAAAATATTGAAATTATGTTTATGTGCACCTGACTAATAGTCGTTTTAGTGTCTTCAAATGTTTGTAGTGCTTATAAGTAGCAGTGACAAAATGACTAAATGCATTTTTAAATAACCCTTCAATTATTGCATTGTTAGCAACTGTTTTTTTCATGATAACTTGTCTTTTATCAGTAAAATGTTATCTCCTAAATAATTAACAAAGAAGGACGAAAACCGGGAGGTCTGTGTACCGTCACTGATAGTTTTGAATGATAGAGAAAAGTAACTGTACACCATCATACCGAAAAATTCTCAGTGATATTTATGCGTGATAAATAACTGCAAAAGAA